ACCAAAATTCTGAACAAAATACTGGCAAATCGGATCCAGCAATACATCAAAAAAATTATTCACCATGACCAAGTGGGATTCATCCCAGGGATGCAAGGCTGGTACAATATTCGCAAAACAATAAATGTGATACACCACATAAACAAAATGAAGAAACCACATGATCATATCAATAGACACTGAAAAAGCATTCGACAAAATCCAGCATCCATTTCTGATAAAAACGCTCAGCAATGTGGGAATAGAGGGATCTATCTCGGCATAATAAAGGCCATATATGAAAGACCTACAGCCAACATCATACTCAGCGGGCAGAAACTAAAAACACTTCCCTTAAGAACAGGAACAAGACAGGGATGTCCACTTTCGCCACTCTTGTTTAACATTGTACTGGAAGTCTTAGCCACAGCAATCAGACATGAAGAAAAAATAAAAGGGATCCAAATTGGAAAGAAGGAAGTGAAACTGTCATTATTTGCAGATGGCATGATACTATACATAGAAAACCCTAAAGACTCCATCAAAAATCTACTAGACTTAATAAATGAATTTGGCAAAGTAGCAGGATACAAAATTAATGTCAAGAAATCGATGGCATTCTTTGTTTTTTTTTTTGTTTGTTTTTTTATCCTCACCCGAGGACATTTTTCCATTTTTTGTATAGATAGACTGGGAGGGAGAGAGAGGAAGGGAGAGAGAGTGAGAAACATCGACGTGAAGGGACACATCGAGTGGCTGCCACCCACACGGCCAACCAGGGCCGGGGACAAACTGCAACCGAAGTACGTGCCCTTAGCGGGAACCGAACCCGGGTCTCTCCGGACTCCAGGCCGACGCTCTAACCGCTGAGCCAAACTGGCCAGGGCTCGACAGCATTCTTGTATACCAATGATGAACTCACAGAAAGAGAAACTAAAAAACAATCCCATTTACCATGGCGGCAAAAAAATTAAGATACCTAGGAATAAACTTAACCAATGAAGTAAAGAACATATTTGCAGAAAACTACAGGACATTGAAGAAAGAAATAGAGGAAGATATAAAAAAGTGGGGCACATACCTTGTTCATGGATTGGAAGAATTAACATCATTAAAATGTCCATATTACCCAAAGCAATCTATAGATTCAATGCAATCCCCATCAAAATACCAACGACATATTTCACAGAACTAGAACAAATAATTCAAAAGTTCATATGGAACCAAAAAAGACCCCGAATTGCCACAGCAATTTTGAAAAAGAAGGACAATGTAGGTGGGATCACAATACCAGATATCAGGTTACACTACAAAGCGACTGTAATCAAAACAGCCTGGTACTGGCACAAGAAAAGGCATATAGACCAGTGGAACAGAATAGAGAACCCAGAAATGGACCCAAGGCAATATGCTCAATTAATATTTGACAAAGGTGGCAAAAGCATACAGTGGAGTAAAGACAGCCTCTTTAATAAATGGTGTTGGGAAAATTGGACAGCTATATGCAAAAAAAATAAAACTAGACCATCAACTTACACCATACACAAAAATAAACTCAAAATGGATAAAAGACTTAAATGTGACCCGTGAATCCATAAAAATTCTAGAAGAAAATGTAGGCAACAAAATTTTGGACATCATACACAGCAGAATTTTCACTGATACATCACCTAAGGCAACAGAAACAAACGAAAAAATGAACACATGGAACTACATCAAATTAAAAAGCTTCTGCACAGCAAAAGAAACAACCATCAAAATGGAAAGGCAACCCACTGTATGGGAGAACATCACTGCCAATGATAACATCAGATAAGGAGTTAATTTCCAAAATATATAGAGTACTCATACAACTAAACAAAAGAAAAACAAAGAACCCAATTTAAAAAATGGGCAGAGGAGCTGAATAGACACCTCTCCAAACAGGACATACAAATGGCCAAGAGACATATGAAGAAATGCTCAACATCACTAATCATCAGAGAGATGCAAATTAAAACAACAATGAGGTATCACCTCACACCTGTCAGAATAGCCGCCATCAACAAATCATCAAACAACAAGTGTTGGCGAGGGTGTGGAGAAAAGGGGACTCTAGTGCACTGCTGATGGGAATGCAGACTGGTGCAGCCACTATGAAAAACAATATCGTGCTACCTCAGAAAAATTAAAAATTGAACTTCCATTTGATCCAGTGTTCCCTCTTCTAGGAATATACCCTAAGCCTGAAACACCAATCAGAAAGAATATATGTACCCCCATATTTGTAGCAGCATTATTTACAATAGCTAAGATCTGGAAACAGCTCAAGTGTCTATCAGTAGACGAATGGATAAAAAAGCAGTGGTACATATACACAATGGAGTACTATGCAGCTGTAAGAAAGAAAGATCTCTTATCCTTTGAGACGACAGTGGGGGACCTGGAAAGTATTATCCTAAGTGAAACAAGCTAAGCAGAAAAAGACAAATACCACATGATCTCACTTATATATGGAATATAATGAATATAACAGTCTGAGGAATAGGGTAGACCCAGAAACACAGAAGTAGGGCACAGACTGACAACCCTCAGAAGAGGGGGTGGTGGGGGGTGGGAAGAGATAAAGCACAGAACTTATATGCATGTATGCATGACCAATGGACATGGACAACAAAGCCGGGGACGGGGCAGAGGGCGGATGGGGAGGAGGGTGTCAATGGGGTAAAACAGGAGAAACATCTGTAACAAAAATAAAATTAAATAAATAAAATTAAAATAAAAATAATTTAGACATCGGAAGTATTACATAAAGGTTGGCTTTTATAAACAACTGATAATCACTACTATTGCATTGGCAATAGGGGGTCTTATGTGGTTCCATAAAAAAGTTAGGATTATTTATTCTATTTTTGTGGGTGTATGATAATCTGTTTCTACTTTGTTTTTTCCCTCTATTTGTCCTATTTATTTTTCTTATTACATTTGTATTAATTAGTTTGTTATCTATCCCACTTATTGGTGTAGAAGTTAAATATTTTTATAATTTTAGTAGCCCCTCTTCACATTTTAGCATATATACATAATTTAACAAAGTTGAAAGTTAATATATTAATCTGTTTCCTAAGCTATACAAGACTCTTAAGCAACTTGAATTACTTTTTCTTGATTTATTTCTTTTTGTTAATCCAGGTTTTTTCTTTTGTTTTTCTTTTAAGCTCTACATATTAATATTTTTAATTCATATAAATAATGATTATTTATAGCTTTACCGAAACAAATTATTAGTTTCTTTGCTTTTACTTTTTCTATTTATTTTTTTTATCCTCACCCGAGGACATTTTCCCATTTTTCTGTTCAGGTAGAGTGGGAGGGAGAGAGAGGAACAGAGAGAGAGAGAGAAACATCGATGTGAAAGGAACACATCGAGTGGCTGCCACCAGCACGACCGACCAGGGCCGGGGACAAACTGCAACCGAGGTACATGCCCTTAGCGGGAACCAAACCCGGGTCTCTCAGGACCGCAGGTCGACGCTCTAACCGCTGAGCCAAATCAGCCAGGGCTCTTTGCTTTTTACTTTTTAAGAGCAACATGTTATTTATTAGATTCATTTATTTATTTATTTAATCCTCACCCGAGGATATTTTTCCATTGATTTTTAGGTAGAATGGAAGGGAGAGGAGAAAGAGAGAGAGACATTAATGTGAGAGACACACATCAATTGGTTGCCTTCCACCTGACTCCAACCCAGGCCGAGGATTGAACCTGCAACCCAGGTATGTGCCCTTGACTGGGAACTGAACCCACTGAGCCCAACTGGCCAGGGCGTGCTTTTACTTTTCCATCATGCATCTCAAATCTCCCCTCTGGGGTCATTTTTCTTCTTCCTAAAGTATTTGTTTTAGAATCTTTCTACTCCACGTGTGGTTAATAGACTAGCAACATCAACATTTATTTACTTCCTGTAGCCCTATGGACTGTCCTAGTCTAGATCACTGAGATCTCCCCATGTCTAATCTTATTCTTCCATTCAACGTAGTATGTTGAGTGTTCCTCATAAAATGTGAATCTAACATGTGATGCTTCCAGATTAAAACACAACTGTTCCCCATTCTCCTTAGAAGCTTAAATGGCATGCCATGATTGCAGAGCCCTTCGTGAACCATCCTCTCTCTACCACTCCCTCTTCTTGTGTTCTATGTTCCAGCCACCCTAAATCTCTTTAGGCTTCTCCAGTATGTGAATGCTTCCTCTTCTGGCCTCTACACATGCTGGTATTCTCTCCCCACAGCTATTATTTCCAAGCTAACTCATATTTCTTCAGTCCTCAGCATAAAAGTCACTTGCCTCTGGGAAGCTTTCATCCCTGTTCCAAATGCCAATCTCCATTCTCACACTCCCACTAGAGCTGCTCACATTAGCCTGGCAACTATGATAAAGACATTCATCTCTTCTGTAAATTTGTTTCTGTGATATGATGCAATCTAGAGAGAGATGAAATTTCTGACTACTTAAGCAATGCCAGAATTTCCAGGATTCTTGTAAATAAGTAGAAGAAGCCACTAGCACCAGCAAAATAAGGAAGACTAGCAGGAAACAGCCTTCAAATCATGAAATAACTTTAAAAAGTAGGTTTTTATGGAGAAGAAAAAGTCAGTAAACACATAAAATACAGTACTACAAGATTATTTCTAAGAGCAGTGACTGTTAAAACAACAGCAAATTATTATAATAAAAATTAATCTGCTTGAGTAGTAACCAAAATAGAATCTACAGTGTGGCTTATGGCAATTTCTCAAGATTCCATCCAATAGCACTATATATACTTAATAAACTCTTACTTTCATTATTTATACTTTCAGTTTAACTTTCAGCAAGGATATTTTTTAGTGTTTCTTTGAGCTATTTCAATATGTCAGTTATTTAGCAAAGGTTAAATAATTTAAAAAGTTAAATTATTTAAAAATGAGTTCTTAATAGTATTTTAATAGAAAAACACACTTCTTCTAAGAAAATACAAATATACACTAAACAACCCCAATACAAAATTTTAATAAAATAATAGTAAGGAAATGTAACTGTCTCATTATGCAAAAATGCACATGTGTGAATTTATACACATATGTACTTTGCAATAGCAGGAATATGCAGAATGCAAAAAAAAAAAAATATATATATATATATATATATGTACGCACAGACTCAATAAATTAGTTAAAATGTTATTACTCAGTAATGTGGGACCAGTTTACAGATGATGTGACGATGGTAGCAAAGTGGCAGGAAAAAGCTCAGCACTCACCATGTCTAATAGATAAAGCTTAGTGATTCATTAAATATTATGAAACTCTACAGGATCAAAACATCCAAATTTCCATAGATTTTTAACTGTATCTTTCAGATAAGCCCACTAGTCTATTCTAGGTAGGTAAGAAAGTGCCTGCTGACATCATTTTTTAAAGGAATTACCTTGGAAAATTACTTTAATGTTTACAAAAGCTGAACATATATCCAAAATATAATATGGTTTCCATGAATAAGAAGAAATATCAGTCTACCACCTTGCTATCATTTTGGCTGCTCTTTATACCGCCAAATGTTTTTCCACAAGCAGGGCACAGACCTACACCCTCACACAAACCAACAAACTTATGAACACTGTAAATATGTTCCATTTTCTTTGCAGTTCTCTTAATAATGTGATTTTGCATGAAATGATTTACTAAAATATTTAGATGTTTTATATAAAAGTTAAGTACTCCCACCATTTACTTCATCTCAGAAAGGAGAGTTGCATTGGGCTCTAGATGTGTTGAGTAGTCATAGATCATTTCTGTCGCGTCATCTCAAGGCAAAAGGAAATCAACAGAAAGATGAGCATCAGTTTTATAATAACTGAACACGACACCTAAAGTAGATCTAGAGATAAGCACAAATTCCAATTATTTATTCAATGAATGTGTCCTTCAGAGCTCACACTATTACTTTTGTTCTTCATCTTTCATTTGGTTTTTACATTAAGGCAAAAGACACATCTTCTTTTCCGTGGCTTTGAGTAGTCTCATTTTTCTAAAAGAGAAAATAATGCTCCTTTTCATCGAAGGTTAATATCAATACTAGGAAAAAGTTCTTTTCTTTTGAAAACGTGTGCTGTGATTCTACTAATGGAATGTTTAACAATACTAATCCTGAGCAAGAGTAAAAATAAGAACAGTTTTGACTAAAGAATAAAATTCTTTCATTGTTAAACCTAAACAGCTTTAAAATTTGACCATGGAATATAAAGTCAAAAAGGCTAGAATTCAGACTTCTGATGTCCATGCCAAATCTGAACACTAAGAGCAGAAATAAAACACACATAGTAAATAATACACAACAGTAAAAAGCATCAGAAATTGATGCGCCTGGATTTTGTTAAATATAACAAAGGTCACTCAGTCCTTCGTGGATAAATCTAGCTGGGAAAACAGCACTCAACAGTGTATTGCATTGAACAGATCCCTCAGAAAGTAACACTGGATTCCTTTTTAAATTGGCATAGACTTTTTTCACCCCCCAAACATTCAAAGACATTTATAAATGACACATTTGGAAATGCAGTCTGAATCTGGTTCTCATGAAAGCAAAAAGTTCTGGCCACTCTGGAAACTGCAGTAAGTCACTTGAGTGTTTAGTTATAGCTACCTCTCATGGAAAATTAGTGCTTTGCACCCAGTCAAGCAGGATTGTGACAAAGGGTTCATACACCAGTGAAGGCATTAAGTAAGGGCTCTGCAACTTCTGCGACACGAGTCAAGTGAAGCCAAGCTCTACGACTACATCTCTAGTTCTGTGGTGAAAGTGCGTGAGGGCGGGAGGCTGCCCGCCCGCAGGGATCCTCTCACAGTATGACGGCCTGTCCACGTGGGGACGGGCGGCTGAAGGTGAGCACAGTGAACATGAGGCATTGATTTTCGACACTGGGCGCCGCCCTCGGGGCTTCTTCAACATGTCTCTTGCTTTATTCAAACTGTCTCTCTTCCTCTTCATCTGCTTCTTCGATGACCTGAATCTCATCTGCTTGAGGTAAGGCAGAGTTCTCCACCTGCAGTTTATTCCCATCAGCTTTACATTTCTCTTCTTCCTCTATGATCTCCTTCCATATCTTGTGGTTTTCAGTGAGGTGGTGCATTAGCTGACAAAATATTCGCCGTCTGCCTTTCCGTCTCTGTGGTTCTGTGGGAAAAAAAAAATTCTCATCATAGCAATATGATCCAGTCATTCATTCAATCCATATGACTCAGTCATTCGTTCAGTCTGAGTGCCTATCATATTCCAGGTGCTTGTCTAAGTACGCACTGGGTTACAGTAATAAACAGTAAGATAAAAACAATCGCTGTACTGTGGAACCTAGAAAAGCAAAAAAGAAGTGACATATAAGTATGTTACATGGTGTTAAGTATTGTGGATGAAAATAAGGCAGAGAAGGACATTAGGGAAAACTTGGCGCGGGGGGGGGGGGGCGGGGGAGAGAGTTGGTACTGAAATTTCAAATGATAAAGTCAAAACCAACCTTTTTAGGATTCTTTTATGTATTACAGACTTATCAAAATTTTGGTGAGTAGCCCTGACCAGGTGGCTTAATTGGTTGGAGCATCATCCAGTACACCAAAAAAAAAAGAGGTTGTAGGTTTGATTCCTGGTCAAGGCACATATGGGAGGCAACCAATCGATGTTTCTCTCTCTCTCTCTGAATCCCCCTTCCTCTCTCTAAAAATCAACAAAAATATATCCTGGCTGACAGTTGAAAATTTTTTTTGGTGAGTATAAATTTCTAGAAGCCAATCAACTTTCCCAAGATGATATTCAGATGGTAATGAAGTAAGATTACTCTTCACTATGTTAATGCTGAATATAACTTTGTGGGGGTGGGGTGGTGTTCTTTCCAGTTATCTGATCTGATGTATAGCATGCTTCGAAAACAAGTAATTATTTAAATTCTATTTTAAAGAGCAAATAACTGATTTCACTTACAGATACAAAGGTGACAAATGTTTCTTTTTCGCTTTCTATTTATATTCTTTGCCTTATATAGAAAACTGTCTCTAGACAGTTTTATAATTAAAATCCATAATGGCACAAAACTTGGTTCTACTCTTACAGTCAATTTTCCCAACTGTTTTGATCCATTTCCAAAGTCTACATGAAGGGCAGATGAACCGGCGAGGAAGGGGGTGAAGTAAAGGAAGACTAGCCAGTAAGACCCACCCACCTCCCATTCTCAGGTACGGTGGCAGCTCTGTCACACGTGCATAGGTGCAGCCTGCCGAGGAGCACTAGCTGGAGGACAGCACCTCTAGAGTTGCTACTTTAGTGAATGCTTGTTGTGTGACGGCGTTATCAATGGGTACCCAGCCCACAGTAGTTACTCAAAACAAGACTCTTCAAACTGAACATTTACATAGTAGTCAGTCAAGAGAAGACTACTGAATCTGTATCTTAAAAACAAAGGTCCAAATCCAAATTAAATGGACATTTTCAGTTAAGAATACTGACTAAATAGTATCCATATGTTCTTACTAAGATTTAGATTGTCTTCCACGTCGTCATCGTCTGTATCTAATTCTTCACCATCTTCATCGTAACAGCTTTCAGTATCATCATCCTCTTCTGCTTCTACCCACTCGCCCGGGAGCAAACCAGCAGCGTCGTAGGAGTTACACAGGGGACCCACTATGTGGGTGATAAAAGACTCTTGGAGCTTTGCTAGTTGAGGAGAAGAACGATCCATGAAGGGACTGATGGGCAAACCAAGATTTGCTTCTTCATCTCCCTGATCATTTTAAAAAGAAAAGTACATTTTTAACTATGGAGAGAACTACCACTAAGCTTTGTTGTTAAATTATCTTGAGATTTTTAAAATAAGCATAGTCTACATCAAAACAATTTTTACAAAAAGGCATCAATAAATTTAATTATTACTCTATCATTTCAACCGTAAGTATTTCTCTAATATTTGAGAAATCCTAAACAAAACTATTCTCACATTCCACCAGTCAACTGGTATGGTTAATACACAGTTAACAAGAAAAAATATACATCTTTAAGAATAAGTGGTAGCAAATTTACTAACAACCTGCAAAATTCCTTCATGTCAAATACAGATTCTCTTTGCCCCAGGGGAGATTGTGTAATGGAAACATTTGTGTTGCTGTGGTGGCACCACAAATGTACAGAGTGAGTTTTGCAAATGCTTTTCAACTCCCCCACCTTTTGTAACAGAAGAACCCTTCCATGAGTCCACATAAAAAAACCTAATATGTAAAACAGAAGTAGAGCTACTGTGGTTGAGGTTAGGATTCTGGGCCCGGAGCCCCAACTGCCTGCCCTGAGATACCCTCTCCCTGTGGTCTCCAGGGTTCTGGAGAAGACAATTTGAGATCAGACAGATGTGGCTTTAAAACCTGCTTTTGCTATAGGGTGTTGGGTAAGCTCTATGCTTAATTCATGTGTAAAATTTTAAGAATATACTTCACAGGGTGGCTATGAGGATGAAAAGCTTAATTGTATGAAGTGTTCAGCACAGTGCTGAGCATTCTCCAAATGATACTATTAATATTTGGGTTCCCAGTGCCTGAACTGGTGGGGATGGATACTCCCCACAAAGCAGTGCTGCAGGCCAGAGGAGCCACGAATCCCTGAGACCATCAGCCCAAACTGTCCTAGTGAAGAACTGACTGTGATTTTACCATCTAGGAGGAAGAAAACTATCGATGTTTAAAAAGAACAACAACCAGCTGGGTTTGTCCACAGGATTCTACAATTTCATAGGTTTACCACTTTTATTTATTTTGGTAGAAGCTTGGCTTTTCTAAGACTGTAGCACTTAGATATAGGAATACAGAGCTAGTATAATTATAATGATAAAAAGATGGGCAAGGTTAGAAGTTTGCCTGCATATCTGAAAGATGTTTAATAGCATAGCCAGATTGAGAGGAAATTTAATAGTTTTGATGTGGGTTAACTAGGACTTTCATATTGATTAGTACATTTAACCTTCATGACAATTCTATGGTAGGGTATCATTTTTCTCCTTTGACATATGAATAATGAAACCTAAAATGATTAAGTGGTACTGTCTGAAATATGATTTTTAGTGATAGATTGGGAATTATAATTGCTAACATTTATGCAGCACTTATGTATCAGGAACTTTTCTAAGATTTTACATATTAAGGTTGCTGTGAGGATTAAATAAATAATGTGGGAGGTACCATCAATATTCCTGTTTTATCAATGCAGAAGCTGAGACACAGAGAGGTTAAATAATCTACCCAAGGTCACATTGCCAGAATTCAACCTCAGGCATGGCTTCCAACTTTGTTCAATAAGAATTAGTTCTATATATTGAAAAAAATAATTATATTATAAATTGGGTCTAAATGAACTTTTCAAGTGTTCTTTCAATGAATTAGTGAGTTTTTAAAAAACTGGCATACACTAATACTTTTTATTACCTCTATACAGATAATATAAAGGTGGCATTTTTCTTAGCATAAAATTCTTCTTTTGTGAACACAAATTAAAGTCCGAGCAGGCTTCAACGATCTTTGAAAATGAAGATGGGACTGTGCAAATTAATTATTGTAATCTACAGATTCGACAAATATTTATAACTATATATTATCCCAAATTACAAATAATTAGTTTAATTGTATCAGAATAGTAAGCTATTAATCTTGAAATATTTATCTGTTTCCATATTTATCTGTTTCCATGATTACACAGTATGGAATTTTGTAACTTATAAACAGCAGAGTATACATTATTGTGTTGGGACCTTTAGTTAAGTGGTTGAAAGACACGGCACATTTACTGGTCATTTAATACAATCTGGGTGTGACAGGTGTAACCGATAAGTGTGCATGATTTATGGACTCCATCCACTTCATGGTAAGAAAGCCCTGTCGCAGAGGCCTCACATGGTAGACATCTTGATCTTTTCTGATTATTAGGGTCAATAAGGATTCCGAAGCCAAGAAGACATGCTTGATGTTTTGGAGATAATGAAATGTTAGGCTTGTGGGGAAATCAGTATACTCCTACATTGTAGAGAGCCTCAAAAATGGGTCTCAGAAAAAGGTAAAGATTCTGCAAAATGGTAGCATTTAAAACCAAGAGTTTAAAACACATGAGAAAAGACCACGTTTATATCTTTGAATCCTTGAAAACCATTAAGATCTACTTTGTCCCCATTTCTAGCTCTCTAATTTCTTATCCTCTGCCAGGACTTTTACCCATTGATGTTTCCAAGGCAGCCTTTTTATACGAGAGTTAAAAATGGGTTGCTATTCTTTAAATATAATTAAGTATAATCTGAATCAATAAAAAACAACTTCATTTAGAAATAAATTATCATAAGTTATAGGTTCTCAGGGTTGAAAGGGACTTTGAAATCATAATGTAGTCTGTCCTTACTTCTAGACTCAAGTACATTCAACCCATTTCAGATAGGCTATAAACTATTTTTTTTTATGTTTTATATGTTAACAGCAAAGGCAAAAAGAACAGAGAATATACTAAGACCAAAGCAAATGAAACAATTTCTAACAATTCTTGGTCAAAGCAACTCAGATGTCAAAGTTTAATGTAGCTATCCAAATCTCAAAGGGCAGTGTCTTCAGATGGCTGCTCTTAAAAACCCCACCAATCTCATGTTTCAACGTACCTGCTCATAAAATTCATTGACAATGCCTTCTGTCCATTTCAAATGCAAGTTCCGAACTTTTGCTGGGCCGTTTATATCTGCCAGTTTGATGCACACCTGGCATACTAAGAGGCGATCGTTTTCATTACTCCATTCTATACCATTACTATTTACGTCATTGGCCTGTTTTGGAAAAACAGAATTATGTTAGGTTCTAAGACCCAGGAGTTTTGTTGTTTGTACCAAATTAGCTTAAAATTTTCCCATCCAAGGACAGGCAAGAATTTCTTTTAATCAGTTTGTGCCATAACATGGATCTCTACAGTTAAGGTTCCCTTGAATTTGAAATATTATAATTTTGTTTCAATGGAAGCAGAGACTATAAAAGACATAACACCCTGGCTGGTTTGGCTCAGCAGCTGGAGCGTCGACCCAAGGACCAAAGAGTCTCAGGTTTGATTCCGGTCAAGGGCAACCAATCAATGTGTCTCTCTCACCTCTCTCTCTCTCCCTCCCTCCCTCTCTCTCCTTCTCTTTCTCCCCCTCCCTCCCACTCTATCTGAAGATAAATGGAAAAATATCCTCTGATGAGGATTCAAAAACACAACAAACCATGGGTTTCAGTATTTGTGATTCCCAGAGAATTATAACTTGTACATATATATACATATATTACATGTTATTACTGTGCATTATGTTATGTAAAACATCAATAAATCATGTAGAATTGTAACTTTCTACCTCAAAAAAAGATAATACTTAAGGATCTAAGGAGAAGTTGGCTCTAGCTGTGAAAGGCAAATGTGATGTAGTTGAAAGAACACAACGGTTTTAAATCCCGATTCACTGATTTACTCTTTCATTGTGTAACACTGGAAAAACTGCTAAATCTTGAGTCTCACTTTCCTCATCTATAGGACAGAAAAAGTAATGCCAATCTAGCTCTATAACCATGAAGATGGTTAAATGAAAAATCCCGTTTATAATAAATGCTAACATTGCTATTTAAATAAATTGTAATTATCATTATTACGCCAATTACTAAGCCTTTTTAAGAACTCAAATTTCCTTTTGTGAAAAATGAAGTGAATAAGCCAGATCAGTGGGTTTTGAACTCTGTGGTGTAATGGCAGTTTTTCGGCACCAAACCCTTTTGTTAAAGAAAACTTCTGCAGACCACCACTACGGAAAACACTAAAAAGGAGAGCTCTTTTGACTGAAACTGTAGGCAGTCCAGAGCTCCATTCATATGGCACTTTCCCGAGAGACTGCAGGACGAAGTCTCTGAGGAACACACATTTCAAAGCGTTGGGTTAGATCATCTTTGGCCTGTAAAAACTTCTATTTCTCGGACTTATGCACTTAAATGAATTTTTATTATTAGGTAAAAATAAAAGTTAAAAGAGCTATACAACTATGAAGTAATTTTAGAGGCACACTGATCTCTCACTGAATTTTATAAGCATTTCATTAATATCACAAAAGCAACATCTAAGGTCTCCTTCCAGGGGGCTAAATGTAGTACTCCTTTGTTACCAGTTCCTCTACCTGGACAGGACACCTTCCTTTAGGATACAAACTCATCAAAAAAACAACAGAATCCAGCCCTGATCGGTATGGCACAGTTGGTTGGGGTGTTGTAGCTCACTGTCCTTAGAATCCAACTTGTCTTTAAGCTGCCCTAATTAACAACCTCAGAGACAGCAAGATGAACAATGGGGAATATTATAGAAGGCTTTAGCCCCATAAAAATTAACCAGAGTTTGACCTTCACTGGGAATTTGAAAAGCAACATCCTTCAGGAAAAGGGAGGACAGAAACGGCCCCAAAGCCAGAGTGTCCTGCATGCTCTGTAAAGAAACCGATAGGGAGAAACTGAAGCTCCCTTTACCCCATAAAACTGTAACTGTTAAACATGTGTGTATTGCACCTGACTGACCGCTGATATCCATCTCGAATTTGTTAGTTTTTAAAACTTGGATAATGGAATGAATAGCAGGATAGATGTATGCTGACCCAGTTCACCCAGTTCCCTTTCGCCTCAGCTCCCTCCCACCTCCACTCCCTCCTGCTTATCGCTAACTGCCTCCGCTTCTGTACAAGCAGCTTGCTTGCTCTGCTAAACTCTTGAATGACCCCTGCCCTATATAAGCAACCCTCCCCCTGAGCTCGGGGCTGCAGTTCTCCTCTGTGTAGGTTGGCTGCAGTCCCTGCGCAGGTAATAAAACATCCCCAAAAACTGAAAAATGGAGTCTGAGTGTGGTCGATCTCCTAGGTTACAACAGGGCATCATCCTATACATCGATGTGTCTTTGTTTCTGTCTCTCTCCTTTTTTCTCTTTCTTCCTCCCTCCCTCTCTCTACAAAATCAATAAGCATGTCTTCAGGTGAGGGTTAAAAAATAACAAAAAACGAACAATAGATTCTTGCCAACAAAAAAGGAGGCATCCTTCCCTCAGGAATGATAAGCAGCGGTTTTCAACACTTTTTCACCCCAAATGTCTGAAACACAGAACACAATCTGATTAGTACCACTCTCCCATGAGGACAGACTACCTGTTCTTTCCTTATTCTGTTAGCACAATGAGCGTATATTCTCAAGTCGAAGAGTGGAGAGTACTTCCACCCCACACAACCCAAACACGGATATAAAGAAGGAGCAACAGGTGTGGTGAAACTGGCATAACTGGCTTCCTTGAAGCACATTTTTAATTTAATAAAATGCCTTTGGCACTCTGCACAAACTTTCTCAAATCTGCCCCTGAAAGCTTTTAATGTAATTGATTTGTCACTGTGTGAAAATTACAAGTCTGTGTCAGGGAAGAAATGTAGCAAGCAATAGTATTTTAGAATATGTTATAATAATAAAAATATTTTAGCTTTTACAATATTGGAATATGTATTACCTTACGTTAGATATTTATGATTTCATGAGTAGTATTAATTCTAACAATATTAAATATTACTTTTATTAGTAACACTATCAACAATGACTCCCATTTTTGATACCAGGCATTAATTTGCGTAACAAACCTTGGCATTGAATTCAGCAAGAAAATCAAAATGCTTCTTAAGGTCTGTGGCAAGGATTGCTTCGATGACTAAAAAACGAAAGCGCTTGAATTCCACATGATCAAGATTAGGAAGGAAGTTGTATTCTGGGCTAGAAAGATAGAGATTCCAAGCTGATGCGGCATGATGGTTTTCCAGAACAGATCTGTCGTTGTACAAAACTGCCTACAAAGGAATAAGAAAAATGAGATGTGCATCTCAACGATATTACACTTTTTTTTATTTCAATCCTCAATCAAGGATCTTTTTCCATTTATTTTCACACAAAGTAGGAGGGAGAGAGAGAGAAACATCGATGTGAGAGGGACACATCGATTGGCTGCCTCCTGCATGACCCCAACCAGGGCCAGGGACTGAACCGCAACCAAGGTACGTGCCCCTGACCGGAATGGAACCTGAGACTCTTTGGTCTGCAGGCCAACGCTCTAACCACTAACCCAAACTGGCCAGGGCATTACACCTACACTTTTAATAACAGAGTTAGGATCAGGTTGGAAGAATACAAGCAGTGGTAATACATGCCAGGTAATTTAATTGTGTGAAGGGTTGTGATAATTATAAATGAGTAGACTGAAATGCAAGGTAAAGTACCCTTTCCCTGCATACACAGCCAGCCAGAGAAAGGGCAGTTTGTTTTCCAAGTTCATCTTTGCAGACACCATGCTGTCTCCCATGCTGCCTCCCGGGAGATGAAAAGTTGCTATCTGAGGTCTACTTCATGAAATCAGTAAACCTTCTCAATAAAGCTTATGCTAATCAAGTCCTTAGGGGTATATAGAGCAGGCCTGGAGATACACATTTCTCTCCTTGAGCTAGCATGGAGCTGAGGGTGGTGGTGACGGGGAAGAGGAAGGGGTACAGTCTAGGCTGAGTCAGACACAGCCAACACTGCCATCGTGACCCAGTGCCTGGAAGTAATAAGGTTAGCTTGAAATGCCTTTTTAAATTGAGATATAGTTGACATTACATCACTGTATACATTTAAGGTGTACAATGCAAAACAAGGCAGAAAGGCCTCTACAGGAATCCGGGCTAGGGGGACCTCTCCTGGGGAACATTGGGAGATAGATTTCACTGAGATTCAGCCTCAGGGTATAGATATCTCCTGGTCTAAACAGACGCCTTCTCTGGATGGGTAGAGGCATACCCCACGTGAACAGAAACTGCCACAGTAGCTGTTAAGAAATTACTCCAAGAAATAATTCCTAGATTTGGACTGCCATTAACCCTTGGATCAGATAATGGCCCCACCTTTATTGCTAGGGTCTCACAAGATATCTCTAAAACACTAAACATCAGTTGGAAACTTCACTGTGCCTACCACCCTCAGAGCTCCAGGCAAGTAGAATGTATGAATAGGACCCTAAAAGAAACCTTAACTAAATTAAAAATAGAAACTGGTGAAAATTGGAATATGTCGTTCCCCTTTGCCCTTTTAAGGGTGCGCTGTACTCCGTACCAAGAGGGATCTTCCCCTTATGAAATCATGTATGGCAGACGCCCCCCTCTCCTCCCCAGACTCCAGGAGGAACTAAAAGCTGATATACATAACCATTCCTTACTTGAGTCCCTACAGGCTCCACAACGCACCCAAGGAACAACAGTGCATAAACTCATCAGGGAAGCCATGCCCACACCTACATCGGACCCTGTACATCCCTTCCACCTGGGGATACGGTGTGGGTAAAGAATTTCACGAGCCAAGGACTAACACCAGCTTGGAAGGGACCATACACTGTCATCCTGACCACCTTGATGGCAGTAAAGGTTAACGGCATTCCAACCTGGTTACACCACTCTCAGCTGAAGGCAGAGAAGACAACATGGACAGAAGAGACTGAGGACCCCCTAAAGATAAGACTCTTGCATTCATCGGGACCTTAATCTCTCTAGTCATGACTGTTCAGGGGAATCCTTATAGACCTGGGCCCCAGTGGAAATGGGAACTTAGAAATGGAATATCCAGGGAGGTCTTGAGAAATGTCACTACAAAGGGAATAGAAAAACCTGTTTTCAGTCTTGATCTATGTGACCTCTTGAGGGCGACTATCAGGGTCACAAAGGTTCCTGAGGTCTGGGCCCCATTTGGAGGAGTTGGCTCCCAACTAGAAGTCAACCCAGCATGGGGCTGTGGAACATCTGCTGCAGAATGGGGATTACAAGTAATAGGCATTTATATTTGCCCAGGAGGTGGCAAGATTACTGCTAGTTGCCTAAATGCTAATGAATATTTCTGTCCCTCTTGGGGTTGTAAAACCATATCTACGATTACAGGCTCTCAAAAAAATAGGGATCCACATATAAATTTCAAAAGGCTGACTAACCCTACCCATCTACAGCTAGAGCACTCTAACCCCACCCAGATTAACGTCACTAGCCTGCCAAACCTCTACTGGACCTAAGGAAGAACCTGGGGGCTAAGGCTATATGTATCCAGAAAGGATCCGGGAATTCTATTCACCATCCAAAAAAAGTCCTCAGAAAAACAAATATTGATTCCTATTGGTCCATTAGCTGAATTAACTCTCCCAATACCAGTCCAGAGGCCACCTGGACCCACCAGGGAACCAGAACATCCCCTTATAGGGACCCCAACTTCAGATGAACAATTTAACCAACTCAGAGAGGCTCCACAAAAATCCTCTCTTCTGACCATGTTGAAATCGGTACATAAATATCTAAGTCTATCACAACCAGCCCTGGGGGCAGACTGCTGGCTATGTCTAGATGCCAGACTGCCCTATTATGTAGGTACTGGAATCTCTGAGGACCCAGTTCAGGTTGCAAATGATGACCACTGCACCTGGCACAGGCCAAGGATTACATTAGGCGATATACAGGGATCAGGTACTTGTCTCTTTCCCCCTGAATATAGCCTCCAACAATCCCCTTATGCTTCAATATGTAATCAGACCAGAATAATTAATGAAAATGCCTCGGTGTTCTTCCAGGCTCCGGAACAAACCTGGTTTGCGTGCACAAATGACTTGACCAAATGTGCTGTTTCTGACCAGTTTGGTCACAACCACGACCCTCTGCTTTGTATTCTAGTCTATGTTTTGCCCCAAGTTTCTCTCTCTAATGGGGATGAAGGATGCAACCATATACTTCCCCCTTAATCCCCAATAGCAATCCAGAAAAGGGCACCAATCCTGATTCCTCTCCTTGTTGGTCTGGGTATAGCGGGATCTACAGCTGTGGGTACTACTGCCCTAATCAAGAATGACCAGAATCTAAGGGACCTCAGCCTCCAAATAGATACAGATCTCAGCCACTTAGAAAACTCCATTTCCCACATAGAGAACCAAGTAGACTCCTTAGCCGAAATGGTCCTATAGAACAGGAGAGGATTAGACCTCCTATTTCTTAAGGAAGGAGAATTATGCGTTGCACTGGGAGAAAAAGCTGTTTTTATGCAAATAATTCAGGGATTATTCAAGAAAGTTTATCACTAGTTAAGAAAAATATCAAGGAACGAGAAAGAAAAAGACCAACAATCTGAGAATTAGTTTCAACGAATATTTAACTGGTCACCATGGCTGACAACTCTTACTGTCAACCATACTGGCCCTTTAGCTTTATTATGCTTGATTCTGGCTTTCGGGCTATGCTTAGTGAATAGTCTTATAAAAACTATACAGAGAAGGATAAATTCTGTGAAACTTCTAGTAATGAAAGGGCAATACAATCCTATTCCTTGAGAGGAAGAAGAGTCAACAATTTGACTTGCTAGGAAAACCAGTGGGGAATGAGCTAGGCTCCTTGTCTAAGGTGACTAAGCAACTCCATTTTTATTGGTAGTGGACCTTCCTTGGTATTTTTCCATAATAAGTTGATTACCCCTAGAAGTAAAGGAACTTTGCCTAAGGTTATGCCTAACCTCGTTAACAGGGTTTATCTTGCATAAACTCACCCTGACGGTTTCCGAGTAACAGGAACTGAAAATCATGAGCCCAGTGACTAATGCTTACCTTACCTTCTGTAACAGCTGCTTTAGCAAACGCTATTGTATCAGTCACCCATAAGGGTGCCAAAGAGGGATATGGTTTCAGTCTTTATAAACTGACGGCAAGAATGTTTGGGGCTGCTGATTTGGGAGACTTATGCCTCTGCAGCCCGTGGGTGAATAAAGCACTCCCTCTCATTTACAGTTCGGTCGTGCGTCTCTGATTGTCTCGCTGGCTCATCACAATACTAGTATACTTTTATGTCTCAATATTCAACCGTCTGGCTTTCATTTTCTAGGAACAGTATCAAATTCTTTAATATAGTGGTGACAATACTTTCCCAATGATTCCTCTCTGTCATCATGCGTTTCATTCCCTCCTGCCACTTCAATCAGGAGGAAGGGGAGACAATGCATGTGGTCAGTCACCATCTCAATCCATATTTTGAGAGACAAAATATATTCATGGCTGTCTCAGATTTACAAACCCCAACTTGAAATTTTATTTCCTTTTACCCTAAATCTCATCAAAATACTCTATTAACTAATACCTCTAGCACCAACCTCCACCTTTCAGCCAACTTTTCATTTGGAAATAGCTCAGAAATCTCAGAATTTTAATACTGACATCCCTCCAGTTTAAACATGACTAAATATTTTACCTTCTTTCATGACAAGAATTCAAAATTATCCTCCTGTGTTTCCCAGTATACATTCTTTACCATGAGAATAAAGAGGAATACTTGATCCTGTTGGTGGTATTATATACTACTGTCACTTTTTATAATACACTGGAGCAATAACATCTTTTACTAATTATGGTTTGATTAGACGCACTGAGCTTCCCAAGAAGAGAGAACCTACTTTATTACCTAATTGACACACTGAGCCTCAGGCTTTCACAAGAGAGTCCTTATCGCACAGGCGCTGGCTGAAGAAAGTGTTATGAATTTCATTACTGTGGGAAGAACTGAGTACATTTCAGACAAGCTTAGCAGTCCTGCAGAGCCAAAAAATCAGGCATCCAACAGTTACTAAATGCCTTCTGTGTGTGAGGTACTACCAGTCTAGGTCCTTAGGGAAATAAAGACAAAAATCCCTGCCCTCATGGAAACTTACATTCCACTGAGGGGAGATATATAAATATACAAAATGCACAGTCTACTAAATGATCATTGCTATGGAAAAAATAAAGCAGGGGAAGAGCATAATGAATGCCAAGAAGAGGCTTCTGAAATTTTAGAGTGAAGGACATGACCAAGTGAGCTCTACCGACAGCTGGGGAAAGCACTGTGGGCAGAGAGGACAGAAGGTGTAAAGGCTCTCACGGCGTGAGTCCAGGACACCGAAGAACACAGCAAGGAGGCCAGTGAGGCTAACTCTGAGTGAATAAGAAAAAGGAGAATTAATGGGCGTTGAATCATGTGGGGCCTTTTGAGCTATTGTAATGTCTTGCTAGGCATGTGGCGAATGCCACTGAAGGGTTTGGAATGGAAAGTGATGTCACTCATTTAAACAGTGACACTCTGTCTGCTGTGTATGAAGAACAGACTGAAGGGAAGCAGGAAGTAAGCAAGGAGACAAGGTAAAAGGCTATACTTTTTCAGTAGCTAAACTCTCTAATCAACTTCCTTTCCACTCCAAAGCTTCCCATTGCTTGACCTATTGACAATTCTTAACAAAGAGAAGTTAGAAATAATGTATGTATGATTAATAATATTATGTCCAGACTTCACGTTGTATTTTGATCAGAGCAACATTTTTGAGTATATAACTTTGTGAATTATATTCATGAATCAGGTTTGTTTTTTTAATTCTCTGCAAGTGAGAGAGGTAGCACGAATTCACTCACTTTTAATATCCTTGAAGGAAAAGTAATAAACAAGTCTGACTCATCCACACTCAAAGTTAATAGAAAACAGAATAAAAGCAGAGTGGAAAAGAACAGTGAGTCATTTCTGTCTATGTGATTATCTAGTTCAGGAGGTTCTCAAATACATAAAATGGTAGAAAACTTTCCATATGTTATCTCCTTTTACCTTTAACTGCATCTGGTACATATTTTGAGGTTCAGGAAGATAAAGGTGATTTGCGTAAAGAAACAGAGCGAATCAGCGGGTAACCGGAAATCAAATAAAGGCCAGTTGATCCCAAGACCAGTGCTTTTTCCGTGGTACCACTACTGCCCAGAGGCTGTGCAAAGATTACAAAGCACTAGGCTAGAGAAAACAGGCATTGGCTCTTGCAGAATGGTACTGCAAATGAGAAAATATGTGCTCCTTAGTGGGTAATTTCTTTGAAAGGGAACAAATATTGACATCTAGGTTGAAGTTTATTTTTAAATTAGTTACCTGTGGAAATCATGACCTATTAATAAAGTCTCATTGGAAAAAATGGATCACACAGCTCTTTCCACATTCTCCCCACCCCCTCCCCAAATCCCACTCTTGCTCTGGCTAAAGAATCTATCCCCTGTATTTTAAACTGAGAATGTGTGAAAGGGATAACAGTGAGAAAAGGAACACACAGAATGGCGACAGAAGATGAAAGAATCAGAACTGAGGTTTAAATACAGAATGATAAAGTGAAAAAGATTAATTCGGCAGTCATTGATGACTCACTCCCTGCAAGGCTCGCCCTTAGAAATATAAAGAATGTAAAGGAATCGCCAGCCCAAACAAACACCCACACTAAATTCTACTAAAAATCAAGTACTTGGTTCCAAGTCCTAATGCTTAAAACTATTACAATGACAGTATCTATCTGTTGGGAATTCCTACCTATTATTCAAATTGTGGCCATAAAGGAATCTTGCACCTTATCAGCTGTACTAGATACAAAAATAAGGTGGTACTAGAAGAATTTTTACACATACTAATATATTCAGAGTTAAGAGATTTAGAGCCTGGGCATTAAGGTATGTCTTAAAGAAAGAAGACAACAAAAATAATAGTTGTCCATCATTATAGCTTTTAACCATCAAAAGGACTTTGCCAGAAGGAAGAGTAAGTCTTACATCTAGTCAGAGTCCTATCAATTTGATCAAAGGCAAAAATATTGAAAGCAAGAACTCCAGAATTTCATAAAACAATGAGTTACTCTTTCATAAACATTGTTTTCTAGCTGATATTTTTCTAATTCTCTTGCACACATCCTGTCAATGCCATGAGTATCTAATTTACTGTAGATGGAATAGACATATGATTCAACTGAAGAATGACTTACAAAGGATATATAGAATGGTTGTAAAATTTCAGAATCATTCTTTAAACTCTCTGAAAAAGTATTTCCTACCTGAGGGGCATTTGTAGCCACTAGAAATGCATTTGTCCGCCCTGGGTGATCATAATCATGCATGGCAGCTGCCACGTATAAAGCCATCAATTCCAATGCAGGAATGTTTGAAGACAGGCAACCATAGCTCTCATCTGGGATTGAGCAGCTCCTCGAAGAAATGTAAGCAATTCGCCCAGGGTTAATTCTACCATCAGACTCTGAGGAACAAGCAAAACCAACATTACACACACAACCTCCTCACAATGTGGCTAAGGAGGGTAATCCCCATAAGTAATATGATTATTTATCTTATTTGTTTACTGACTAAAAAATAGACTCTACTTATAAACATGGACTTAATACAATAAATTAAGCTGGTGTGGCTCACTTGGAGTGTAGTTCCATACACCGAAAGGTTTCAGGTTCGATCTCCAAGTGGGGTGTGTATGGGAGACAATAGACTGATGTTTCATATCGATGTTTCTCTCATATGGATGTTTCTTGCTCACTCTCTCCCTCTCCCTCCTTCCCTTCCCCTCTCTAAAAATAAGCAGGTCTTCAAGTGAGATTAAAGAAATAAACACATTGTATTAACCATCCTAACAAGTGTTACAAGATATCTCATTGTAGTTTTGATTTGTATTTTCCTGATGATTAGTGATGTCCAGTATCTAAATGGCCTACAGTACCTGATGGCCATTTAGATGTCTTCTTTCAAAAATGTCTATTTAGTTCCTGCCCACTTTTAATCCATTTTTTGTTTGTTTGTTGTTGTGTGAGTTCTTTATGTATTTTGGATATTAACTGCTTATCCAGTACATTGTTTGAAAATATTTTCTCCCATTCTGTACACTGCCTTTATTTTCAGTTGTTGCAGGTTATTAGTTTGATGTGTAGAAGCTTATTAGTTTGATGTAGTCTCACTTAATTGACTTTTGTTTTTGTTGCTTCTGTGTCATATTCATTTCTATTAGTTCTCCAATGCAGTCCGAGTCAGGCAGCACATCCCCTAGTCTTAGCAGTTTTTGTCATCACCATATTTTTCCATTTCAACAGCTACTTGGTCTTCCAAAGCCTTGTCTTCTACAGATACCTGATTGCATAACACTATGTATAAGGACTTATAACACTGCCAATAAGAACTCTGAAGGAAGTGAAGAGCATGGAAGAGAAAACACAATGCATCGGGGAATGCTTAAATCATGTGAACAGGCTGGTGGCAGAAAACTGCTGTTAGGGACACTGCTCTGAGGGCTCAGAAAGAAATGAACATACTGGAAATGAGGGGAAAGGAGATCCTTGTTATACTGCACAGCAGAAAGCTCATCCAAATTGTGTGTTGCAGTTAATGTGGAACACAAAACTTGTAAACGGTTAACTTAGACATTTAGCTGAGGAGATTTCCAAGCAAAGTGTTGAAATATAGGCTAGCTTCTTACTGTTCACAGTAAAGTGTGAGGAAAGAGATCGAGGGAGAACTGTTTAGCCAAAAAGAACCAGGACTTGCTAATTTGGGAAATTCTCAACCTGTTCAGATCGCAAAAGATACTAACAGTAAGAGATGAACTATCAGGAAGGTGTACTCTGGACAGGAAGCCAAGGTTGTAGCTGGCCCACTTTTTGCTAATCCCTTGGAAGGATGAAAAGGTGGGGTCAGAGAGTCTTGAAGGTGCTAAGCTGTTGCTTTGAAGAAGGGGCTATGGACCATGGAATGCAGGTGGCTTCTAGAAGAGGGAAGAGACAAGGAAATGAATTCTCCATTAGAGACTCTAGAAGGCAAATAATCCCACTGACACCTTCATTTTAGCCCATTTGGACTTCTGACTTCCAGAAGTGTAAGATAATACATTTGTATTGTTTTAAGCCATCAAGTAAGTCTGCAGTAAATTGTTATAACAGCAATTTGAAACTAACACAAATTTTGGTTCTGAAAATGGGGCACTGCTGTAACAATTCCCTAAAAATTGGATTTGCGCAATCGGCAGAGATTGGAATTTTTTAAAATACGTTTTTATTAATTTTAGATGGAGAGAGAGAGAGAAACATCCATCAGCTGCCTTCCACACGCTCCCTACTGAGGATCAAGCCTGTAATCCGGGTACGTGCGCTGACTGGGAATTGAACCGGTGACCTTTTGGTGCATGGAACGATGCTCAATCAATTGAGCCATAGTGGCCAGAACTGAGACTGGAATTTTAAAGAATATGATAAATACCAATAAGAAATATTAATTAACATATACAATAAGTTCACTGAACATCAACCAAGCAGGATGAATACAAAGGAAATCACCTGAGTATGTCATAGTCAAAATGATAAACACCAACAGCAAAGAGAAAAGAAACCTACTGGTTTTTTGTTGTTGTTGTTGTTACATGCCCCTAGCGGGAACTGAACCTGGGACTCTCTGATCCACAAACCGATGCTCCAACCACTGAGCCAAACCAGCCAGGGGAGGCACCTACTAGTTTTAAGGCAAAATAAGACTTATGGCCAATTTGTCAACAGAAACTACTGAAGTCAGAAGATGATGGAATGGTATCTTCAAATGTACTGAAATATGAAAATATTATTCTAAGACAAAATAAATACATCAACAAACAAGACAGCTAAAGAAAATGATCTTATGGAAGCAGAGAACTACTGGAAGAAACGAAGAGCCCTAGGATAGAGGAAAATATAAATGACACACAAAAATGAGCACAGGCAATTCTATCAAAAAATAATGTCAGTACTTTGGACTCAAGTATCAAAGAATGTAAAGCAGTGGCTGAGTCTATGACATTTACACAGATTAGTATGGTAATATTTCTCAGGCATTTGTAACTAACCAAATTCTGGGTGTGTGTCTGTTTCTATATTATGGAAGTATTTCTCCCCTCTTTTAAAAGCTAGAGTGAGAACCATAAATGTTATAATTCATTATATATGCAAAATAATTATACTTATGATGAGGAATAGAACTAACTTCTTTTGGAGCAAAATTTGAAAGTTAAAAGTTTTTCAATTTTATCATTTAAATACTTATGTGAGGCTTTTAAAGAATAGGAACATTATATATTTTATATTTATATGATATATCTAAAACAAAAACCAAGAATTGAAAGAAGACAGCAAAGAAATGATGATCCTAATATTCAGGATCATGGTTACCTCAATGGGGGTAATGACAGGCTGGGACACAGAAGAGAGACTTGGGAGATATTCCAGTAGTACTAGATTTTCACCCAGCTCTTAGGATGGGTAGTAGGTTTCCTAATTTGCATGTCATTATTCTGCATCAAAATGTACATAGTCCTTTGTATGTACCAAAGTTTACTTAATGAAAATTTCCAAAGAGAGGTAACTGAAATGAGGTAGCTTGATTTATTATTCGTATTAATTTAAAGGAATATTTGTAAAAGGAAGTACCTGTTTCATTTCCTGTTCCATGATCACTGTGGATCTGCTGTAAGCCAGGAATTGGCCGTGTTGTCAGATACCAAACTGCATGTAAGACATCGGTGGCGTGTATACGATTGTGATCTAAAGTCACCAAAATGTTTTATAAGAATGATCATTCTGTTAACATTTATCATAAGACATTTTAAAAAGTACAATAATTTTCAGTCATCCTAATATATAAAATGTATGGTTTAGAATAATATCCCACAATTATATCTTATTTTTAAAGCCTCTTGATGTTTTAAAAAGTTCTTTTAAAAACTTATACTATGGCCCTGGCTGGTGTGGCTCAGTTGGTTGGAGAATCATCTTGTGCAATGAAGGGTTGCAGGTTTGATCCCAGGTCGATATGGGAGGCAACCAATCAATATTTCTCTCTCACAGCGATGTTTCTCACTCACTCTCTCCCTCTCCCTTCCCCTCCTCCCTTTCCCTCCCTCTCTCTCTTCCTTTTCCCTCTCTCTGAAATCAGTAAAAACATACTTCACTGGGTGAGGAGTAAAAAAATAATAATGAAAACATAGTACAGGGGTCAGAGAAAAGGCAGGGTAATCAGGACTAACTGAAAAATATATTTAAGGTTGTAACTTCCAAAAATATTTAATAAACAGTGTCTGGATTATGGAGATCTATGTTTGCACACAAAATTTTTGCACATGGGTGCACAGAACAATTAAAATTCTGAATACTTGAATATACTCTGACCCCCCCCCACACACACACACACAAAAAATGATAAATACTTATTTCTCAGACCTACTATAAGAATTAAATGTTAAATGTTATATGAACACATTCAAAACAAGGTCTGACACATAGCATGTGATCAATAAAACATTGGTTTACTGAAATACCACTATGGGAGAAGGTAAGACCCACAAGTAAAACACAGCCTTGCTATTTATAATTTTATGATCGTGGGAAAGATCTTCTGAGTTTTTACTTCTCATCTGTGAAAGGTAGATAAATCAACCTTTCCCAGAAAGATTAAATGAGATAACCTTTGTTAACCTAATGATTATAGTCATAAGCAGGCATTCTAGTCATAGCTGACATTCAATAGAAATTCAACACTTCAACCAATATTTAATGAGTACCTACCATGTAGAACTGGCAGATGATATGATACTAAGTGTCAGGGCTACAGAACATGATTCAATCCCCTAGGAGCTTAGTTTAGTTATAACATGATCATCTTTTACTGACCATTTACTATGTCCCATGAATTCTGATACGTGCTTTACACAGACTGTCTTATCACCACGTTTGGGTTATGTACTATTATTATTCCCATTTACAAACTTGAAAACTGAAGTTTAGAAAAGTTAGATCCAGAGTCTCTTTTCATAACCAATATATCCTAACTGGAGCTAACAATGAATATGCCTTACCACCTCTTTCTTTCCATTCCCCATTCCTTGAAGTCCATCTTTCAGTAGTACTTTATTCCATTTATGAAATTTAGTCACTTTTATTTATTTTTAATGTTTTTATTGATTTCATTTAAGAGAGAGAGATAGAAACATCAATGTGAGAGAGAGACATTAATCGGTTGCCTCCCGCATGCCCCCTACTTGGGATCAAGCCTGCAACCCAGGCAGGTGCCTTGACCGGAAATCGAACTGGAACATCTCAGTCCATGGGACCTGACACTCAATCCACTGAGCCACACTGGCCAGGCTAAATTTTAACATTTTAAAGTCCAGAATTTTTTGAAACTCTTAACTTAGTATTACTAAACATTTTAAAAGATTAGGCATGCAGATAAATATTAACATAGAAAGATGTATATCATGTAATAAGTGAAAGCAGATTATAAATAGGTATCAATATTATGATTTACTTTATAAATAAATATATATTCTTCAAAACTTTCTTAAATATCAAAAATGTTAATAGTATTCAGTTAACTTAAGGTAGTAGAGTACAGATTTTCCTTTTAAATCTCTATTTAAAACTTTTCCAAACATGTAATTTAAAAGCATTTAGGGACTATCTGAAGGGAAAAATAATAAAGGGTTTAAAAATCAGTATTATTTGAACTTAAATAATAAGGTATGTTAATACTTACAAGGAATATCTCGATAGCCATTTTCTAATGCATGAAAATAGTTCATGAACTGTAGAGTGGGGATTTGAAATATTTCCAATAAACCAGTGTCTTGAAATAAGGTATACATAACCTAAATGTCAATTAAAATAAAGTTCACTTTAAAAATAAGAATTTCTATTTGTAGTTGAGTATAATATGTTTCTGTGATTTGCATTTAGGAATATGGACCACGTATATATCTTCAATAATAATTTATTAAAAACTTTCCTACAATGAATTCCTTTCAAAACATGAAAAAGGAAGACAGCACCCTAAAGCCCATGAGAACCAAAAAAAGAAAGATTGCCATATCATGTTCTAGTTTTAAAATGTTTCCATTCTTCCCTTTAGCTTTTTATTCATAATTTATTTAAGGGCATATGAATTCTATTCTAGTCCTAGGTGTTAAAAGAAGTCAGAACAATACATTTAACATGTTTTTGTCCCCAAAGACTTCAATTAAAGAACTTATATACCTTCCACATAATTGATCCTTATGTTCTTATATTTTATAATAAGATACTTAGGAGTTAATGAGGGTGATATTTGGGGAAGGTTAATCTGATGCTGTTATGTGAACCCATCAGGGACAACCTTGAGTTTGGGTAGTAAAATGGAAGTAGTTTTCCATGGTTGTAGCAAGAAAGAACTATTTGGTCTCAAGTCAAGGATACGGGAGGTCAGGTGGAAAAAGAACAAAGCATAATTTTTCAGTGGTTAGCACTTGATCACCTTTTTTCCTTTTCAACCTCAAGATTCAATATAAAGTAAAACTTGATTACTTTAGTAAAATTAAATCCCATTATTATGGACAAATATACTACTTTTCATTTATATATGTTTTTAAATGTTCTACTGAAAACTTCATTTGTAAAAACAATAATTCAATAAAAAATGAATTTCTGCCTAAACCAACATTAGACATTTTTAGATTTTGCTTTTTATAAAGATTACAAAAAAAAAAAAAAAAAATCACTTGTAATAAAAAGGGAGTGGAAATTTAGAACAAACCTGACTAAGGATCCTTCCTGAATTCTCTCCCATCTTTTCTGCAAGTTCAAAAATTTGAAAATTCCAGTTGCTCATCTTTTCTATTAATGAGTCATAATCTTCTATTAAATTCAGGTCCAGTGATGCTTCTTGTTCAATCTGTACATACAGAGGGGAAAATCTAAACCAACATAACTTTTTCTTTTATAAATACTATTACATCCATATCTAAATTAGAACACTTAAAATTGAGCATTAAAACATGGTCAGTACTATTTTCTACAATGGTTTTTCTCAACTATAACCTGTTCTTCCTATTTCCTCTCTATTGATGCTGTCTTCACATAAATACAAACATGTCTTCTAAGCATCAGAAGATTTCTTCATCTTTACATTGCTTTTAGAAATAAAAATATTTCTGAAACACTACAAATCTAAATTCCATTTTCATTTTAGAAGTTACAGGTATCAAGAAAATAATAAAACATATCTTTATTTTGGCATTTATTATTACACATTAACCTTCCCAAGAGAAATGAACGTGTTTTCTCTCAAAAGCTTCAATTCTGTACTTTCAGAGCAAAAAATATGCTATTTAAACAAGTAGATTATTTCAGTTTTTAATGACTATACACTATTCCTCAGACTTTAACATATATTATGAAAAAAAAATATCAGCATGGAAAGTAATACATCTACTATAAAACTAAATAAAATGTGTTCATTGTAAAATGAATGCACTTTGTTGTTCTAGGATAATGGGTTTAGAAGTAATTTTTTTTTCTTTTTTACCCAAGGTTTTCTTTAATGTGGTATAGTGACTCTCAGTAAAAAAAAAAAAAAAAAAAAAAAAAGTAAAAATATCATTGTATTAAAACCTTGTTCTGGGCAAAAATAATGAAACTAAACTAAGCACTAACTAATATTATATTTCACCTTAACATAATCATATTATGAGTTTTACTTTTAGTTGTTGTTCATTCTGTGCCTCTTCTGCTAGGTGATTACCACCTTCCAAAAATAATTTTCTGCAGTCTCTGTTCTCTGTTTCCACGTCGTCTTGAGCTTCTGTAAGCTTAAGTGATTCTTTTGATAAAATGGTATTGTCTTCATCACCTTAAAAAAAAGTCATAAATAAGAATAAAACTTACCTTACATGGATAGTTTTAAAAGAAAATTATTTGCAAAAATATTCAGAGAAAGTGAAGCATCATGACCTTCAAGCTAAATGAATGACAAAAATTAATTACTATTAATTCTATCTTGCTGGACTATTTGGTCCATGTATCTTGTGCTTGGGCAATGTAGACATTTTATCTGATATATCTACTCACGAATGAATGATGAGTGGCTAGTCTTTATAAAAGTAAGAACAAAAAGGAGTCCCTAAATCTTTTTTTTTTACCAATTTAATGTAAACAATTTCCAACATCTGAAATTGTTTGAGTTTTGGATATGAAAATGAGATTAAGGCATATCTAAAAATTAAAACACATAGAATATAAACTATAATTGAAAAAATTTTTAAATAAAATTTGCCATTTGAAGCAAGTTATAAAAGAATGTAACATCTAGGTAATATAAACATAAAAATTAAAATGCAGTATCATAAATGTGAATTATTTCTCTGCCAATGTGATTAATATCTTTTCCCCAAGTCCCATGGAAAAGGGAAGCAGCATTGGTAGCTAAATAGTATATTCATTCACATGTAAAAGAAATATTCCTATTAATTCTACTTGTAATATCCTGAACAGAAAACTTTCCCCAAACTCATCGATAGGATAAACAAACTAGTGGACTTATACAATTGAACATTACATAGCAAACATAAAGAACTACAATCACATGAAACAATATGTATGATTCATAAAAATATAATGCTGAGTAAGGAAGCGAGGCACAAGGTATACATATTGTGTGGTTCTCTGTATGAAAAGTTCAAAAACGTATTAAAACTGAAACAGATGAATACTGAAAGGTGGGATGAATGTTATCTTTGGCGGATGCACCTGGAAAGGGGCTTGAGGAGAATTCTGAGGTGCTGGTAATATTGATCTGTGTCCCGACTGCCCAGGTATGTTAAATTTGTACTCATTGGGGTTGAGTTTCAGAAGAACTAGGTTCAAATCTTGATTTTTGTACTTAACAATGGCAAGATTTTCCTCCTGTATAATGTAGATAATAACACCCATCTTACTAGATGTTACACATAACAAGTGATCAATAACTGTTAGGCAACTCTAACCTTACATACTGAATATACTAAAAAGTCATAAGCTGATGATCAGGAAATATTATCCTTTAGAAAATATTTTTCCAAATGAAAGGCATTTAAGAAATGAAATACTGAATATTCATTTCTTCTTAGTAAGTTAAGAAAGTAACTACAATAATATTCTAAAATAGCCATCAATTTAAAAAATGTTGACATTTGAAGTACATGACACGATTTACTTTTTAATGATCTAACCTTCAATAACTATATCTTACAGATAATAAAAACAGTTGAAATAAACGTAGCAATTTCTTTTCCAAAGATGTCCACGATGCTATCTGTTGTCCCACATGCACTCCTTTGAAATGTATTCTTGTCACTCCTCCATCAAGAGAGAGCCTTTATTCCATTTCCCAGCCTCCTGGATTCTGGAAAGGCTGCATGACTGCTCTGATTAACAGAAATATGTCTGGGTGGAGCTGTTACCTAACTGGCAGCTTCAACTTCCCTCCTCTCTTGGAATCCAGCCAACGTGTTGGAAGAAGCCCATAGAGAGGTCCTAGTTAGATGGACTGCAATAGCCAACAGACACGGGAGTAGTCCATCTTGAAAATTCAGCCCAGTCAATCCTTCAGATGACTGTCACTCTTGCCAATGTCTGACTGCAGTCACATGACAGCCCTCAAGTGAGGCTTTCCCAGCTGAGAACAGTCAATCCAAAGAACTTTGAGAATTAATAAAGTATTTTTAAAAGCTTTATTGATATAATTATATACCATAAATCCATCTATTTTAAGTGTATAATTCAACAATTTTAGTAAGTTTAGAGTTGTGTGACCATTATGACAATCCAGTTTTAGAATAGTATCTTCATGTGTATTTACAGTTAATCGTTATTTCACCCTAGGCAATCACTGTTAAGATTATTGTCTATAAATATGCCTTTTTAAAAATTTCATATAAGTGGAATCATATAATAATCTTTTCATCCTGGCCTCTCTCACTTAGAATAATGTTTTGAAGTTTATCCATGTAGTATCATGAATCAGAAGTTTGTTCCTTTAACTGTTAAATAAAATTCCATTGTATGGATATACCTCATGATATTTATCCATTCACAAGTTGATGGACATTTGGGTAATTTCCAATTTTGCACTATTATGAATAATGAGGTCATAAGCATTCACAATCCTGTCTTTGAGGGCTCATGTTCTCTTGGGTAAATTCTTAGCAATTGCTGGGTGATATGGTAAATTTATTTTAAAAAACTGAAAATGTTTTCCAAGTTGGCTGTATCATTTTCCATTCCCATCAGCAATAAACAGGGGTTCCAATTTCTCTACATCCTTGCCAATACTTGGCATTGTCTGCCTATAGCTATTCTAGTTTGGGTGTAGTGGTATCTCATGGTAGTATTAAATTGCATTTACCTAATGACTAATGATTATCTTTTCATGTGTTTCATACCCATTTGTTTATATCCTTCACCAAATGACTTTCACCAAATTATCTAAAATTTTTTGCCCAATTTCCCCCCATTTTTAATTGAATTTATTGGAGTGACATTGGTTAATAAAATTACATAGGTTTCAGGTGTACAATTCTATAATACATCATCTGTATATTGTTTTGTGAGTTCACCACCCAAAATCAAGTCTCCTTCCATCACCATTTATCCCTACTTTTTGGCCCAATTTTTTTTTCTTTTTCCAATTTTTATTAATTTATTTTTGTTACAAGTGTTTCTCCTTTTTCCCCCATAGATATCGTCCTCCCCATCCCCCCACCTTGACCCAATTTTTAATTGAGTTGTTTGACTTCTTACTATTGAGTTATAAGAGTTCTTTATGTATCACGGATAAAAGATGTTTATTGGATGTATACTTTGCAGGTATTTTCTCCCGGTGTATGGTCTGTCATGTCATTTTCTCATTGATGTCCTTTGAAGTACAAATGGTTTTAATTTTGCTGAAATCCAATTGGTCATTTTTTTTCTTTCATGGATTGTGCTTTTTGGCATTGTATCTAGGAATGCTTTATTCAACCCAAGGTCACACAGACTCTGTCCTATATTTTATTCTACAAGTTACATGGTCGATCTATCTTGAGTTACTTTTTGTGTATATGGTGAGGTAAGGATTCACACTCTTTTTTTGGCAAGTGGTTATCCAATTGTCCTGGCCCCATTTGTTGGGGGGGAGGGGGAGAAACACTATCCTTTTTCTTTTGAATTGTATTGGCTTCTATGTCAAAAATCAATTCGCCATACAATGCAAGAATTTATTTTTGGACTTGCAAATCTCTATTCCACTGATTTACAGGTTCATCTTTCTGCCAATACCACAATGTCTTCATTACGGTGGCTTTATAGTAAGTTTTGAAATCAAGTAATGTCAGTCCTCCAAATTTGTTCTTTTTCCGAAGTGACTTGGCTACTGGAGGTAATTTGTATTTCTGTGTAAATCTTAAGACCAACTTATCAATTACTATCCCCCCAAAAGCCTGCTAGAATTTGATAAGGACTACACTGAATTTACAGATCAATTTGGGAGAACAGCCCTGTTGACAATGTCAAGTTGTCCAATCTAGTACTATGTAATGCCTTTTGATTTATGTAGATGTTCTCTAATTTTTCTCAACAATGTTTTATAGTGTTCAGTTTATACATCTCTCACTTTTGTTAAATTTATTCTAACTACTTTAATCTTTTTGATACTACTGTGAATAAGAAATGTTTTCTTAATTTCAATTTATGGTGGTTCATTGCTAGTATATAGTACAGCTTATTTTTCTGCATTTATCTTGTGACTTTGCTAAACCTGTTTATTGGTTCGTGTGTGTGTGTGTATTTGAAATTTTCTACATAAAGAATCATATGATCTGTGAATAGGGACAGTCTTTCTCCATTAAGGATATTAGCTGTGTGTTTTCTTTATCAAGTTGAAGAACTTCATTGTTCTTACTATTTTGAGTGTTTTTAGCATGAAATAGTGTTGTTTGACTTTTGTCATGCTTTTTAAATGCATCTACTGAGATTATCATGTGTTTTGGTTTTGGTGTGGGTTTTTAGCCTTTATTCTATTAATGTAGTATATTGCATTGATTGATTTTTCAAATATTAAACTACCCTTGCATTTCTGGGATAAGTATATCTTCATCATGGTGTGACTGTTTTATATATTGCTAGACTCAGTTTGCTAGTATTTTTTTAAGGATGTTTATGTCTATACATATGAGAGATATTCATCTTTAGGTTTCTTGTGATGCCTCTGGTTATGATATCAGGGCAGTATTGGTCTTACAGAAGAAAGAGTTGGGAAGTTTTCCTATTTTTTTTGTCGGAAGAGTTGTGGTTTTTTTTTTAACACTTTAAAATGTAAAAATCAAAAACCATTAAATCGCACACTTTAAAAGGAAGAATTTTGTGGTATGTAAAGGGATTCCTAGGAGCCTATAATCTCTGAAAGGACCTACTTCTGGCTTACTTTTATGTTCCTAGGGTGCCATGCTGCAGCATTTACCAAGTTATCCCTACATGGCAAGCCTTCAACCCCAATCTCTGTCTCCCTAGTCCCATGAAGCCACCAAAAGTACTGCTCATTTTATCAGTCATTGGTCCCTCTGGCAAATACCCTTTTGGTAATCTAAACTCCAGATTCACTGTCTATCCTCCTCTAGATCTAGTGGTATTTCTGAGGAGCTTGTTAGTTCTTCAGTGGCTTCAAGCAGATTTTTTTTGTTTGTTAATAATAATCTGTACAGCTTTTCTACCTACCTTCAGGAGGAATGTTGGTGCAAGTTAACTTATTACTGAAAGCTTGGTCATCAATTGTTTTAAGTTATAAAACCACTATAATTTTATCACCATCGATATATTTTGTTTGATCATATAAAATGTTTCAGAGTGGTATAATTAAATTTTAAAACTCCTCTCTGTGCCATAAAAAAGTTATGCAAATCTTTTGGCCTTAGATTATGCAGTATAAATTTCAACATTATTATACTTTATTTCACTATTTATGAGCCAAAGCCATATAACCTGAGACTATATACATTTGTATAGCACATTTTTAACTCTTCAAAATACTTTCATAATCCATTACTTATACTTTGTTCCTGATAACGCCTCTCTGAAGTAGATGAAAAAAACACTACAATCTTCCTTTTAAAGGTGGATAAACTGAAGTTAAACTCATTCATTTATTTATCCTAAAAAGTAATGTAAAAAATTGCTCTTAAAGTTAAACACATACGACTCGAATCTCACCTGATTTTCCATTGCAGCGGTCTGTACCAGACTCTGACTCAGATGTTGAAACATGTTTCAGTATTTGATGTCCACAGCTTATAGAAGAAAACATAAATATATACATACACACATATAAACATGTATATATAATAAAAGAGGCAAAATTTAAAACTCTAATTAGAAAATCTGCTTAATTTTTAACCAAGATCCCAAATGCAACACATCTTAATATTCCAATCTCTCTATAAGTTTAATAGGATTTATCTTAGAAAGCATTTGTGTGATTCTGAAGAAATAACATATTTTGAAGTCTAGACTGATATCTGAGGTAAAACGCTTAGTATCTAAGCAGAAATGAGAGTGAATACCATATGACCTGGGTGTTATAAATAGGTACTACAGTAGTGTATACTAAAATAATTCTCATACTTTTACTGATATAATGAACAAAATACCACTATATGGAGATGGAGATCATTTCATTGCAAATGAATAATAGCACTGAAATGAGAGAAGTTTTATTTAGAGTAAATACTACTAGCCCTGGCCGGTTGGGCTCAGTAGTTAGAGTGTCGTCGGCCTGCGGTCCAGAGAGACCCGGATTTGGTTCCCACTAAGGGCACGTATCTCGGTTGCAGTTTGTCCCCGGCCCAAGTTGGGTCATGCAGGAGGCAGCCATTCGATGTGTCCCTTTCACCTCGATGTCTCTCTCCCTCTCTCTCTCTTTCTCTCTCTCTCTTCCTCTCTCTCCTTCTCACTCTATCTGAAGATGAATGCAAAAGTGTGCTCAGGGAGGATTAAAAAATAAAAATAAATAAATAAATAAATACTACTAGATAAATAAGGAAGAGGAGATAGTCTTAATTCATCATCTAGTTACTATATAGAACTAGAATATTAGTAATACTTTAAGTAACCTATATTGTAAAACAGAAGTAATCATTTGGGAAACTTACCTGTTACATAAATTGCTATCAGAATTTCTAAGTTGCTGATAAAAATCTGGTGAAGTGGGTGAATTGCTCAGAGATCTGTGTAAAATAACACTTGGCTTTGTAAGAAAATCAGCAGTATCAGGAAATTCTACAGGCGATCGACTAGGTAGAGAGCCAGGAGAAACTAGTCCATGGCCAGGAGAATTCACAGGACTCAGGCTCGGTAAAACACCTTGCAAAGTTAAAAGAGAGGAAAGAAATAGATAAATAAATTATTATGCATGTTTATGTTTGTGTACCTATATAAAGAACATTTTCCTTCTTTAAAGAAAGCAAAATATGTACGATTAAATGATAAAGAAGATTTCTAGATGGAGCTATCTTCAAGACAATCCAGAAATTTAAGCAGAATATAGACCATATTGGTCATCACCAGAGACTGGAATGAACATCCTGCAGCAGGACAGCACATTACAGGTGAATACTAAGAGTATAACTAAAACACACATAATGTGTGGCACAAGGTTTCCTAACCATTTTGTGTCCCTGCCAGCTAGATTATCTACATGAACGGAGTATCTTTACCAAATTTTATTGAATATTTTTCAATATAATAAAATTACAATTTTATTTGAAGAATCCAATTTCTTAATAGCATTAAGCAAGTTGAGCATGTAATAAAATTATGTTAACACAACAGCATACCCCTTAAAATATGCATATCTTCCCAGCTTATTTATTTATTCAACAAATATTTGAGAGCTAGAAAATGTGCTGGGTTTTCACAGTGGAGAAAAAGATAGTATCTCTGTAATTCAACAAACCTAGAATCTAATGGAGAAAAGAAATAAGTGCTATATGCTAAACAAGGGAAAAAAAACAGTGCTTCAGAAATCTGCTGAGTACCTTGAACTAAGACAGTATCTGGAAAGGAGGGGGCAGACTTAAAATACTATTTGGAAATAAAGATCCAAGTAAAGTATGAATCACAGAGGAAAGCAAATACGTTATTAAGGACCTATGATATTTTCAGGCACAGAGGTAAACACTTAAGAGACTGTTTGTGATGGTTAATTTTATGTGTCAACTTGGCTAAGCTATGGTGCCCAGCTGTTTTGGTCAAACGGCGGTCTAGATGTTGCTGTGAAAGTATTTTGCAGATGTGGTTAATATTTAAATCAGTCCACTGAGTACAGCAGATTATCCTTCATGATGTGAGTTGGCCTCATCCAATTACTTGAAGGCCTTAAGAGAAAAGTCTGAGGTCTTCCCAAGAGGAAGGAATTTTGCCTCCAGACTGCCCCTGGACTCGAGACTGCAGCATCAACTCTTGCTGGAACGTCCACGCTGGCAGCCCTAGAAATTTCAGACCTTCCAGCCCTCACAATCTCACAAGACAATGCCTTAAAACAAATCCATCGCCCAACCCCCTTTCTCTCTACATACATGCATACCTGTACATATGTATGTTATGTATGTATGTACACACAGACAAACATCCTGTTAGTTCTGTTTCCCTAGAAAACTCTGATACAATATGTTATTTTACTTAATCTTCACAATAACGTGAGTTAAATAGCATTTTCACTTTACATGTGAAGGAAAAAACACTACCAAAAAGGAAACCCCCTAAGAAACTTGATTTAGTTAACCGTTAACATGAAGATCACACTCTTTCTAGGACTGCCACTGCTGTTCTGTCAGATCAGTTTATCTAGAGGCTCCTAAACATTTAACGACAGAGCTGAATGGGATTTTATAAATAATCTGGTCAAACAGTTTAATGTTTCTAAAGAAGAAACTGAAGACTAGAGAGAGAAAGTGTCTGCTTGTCAAAGTCATAATGGTTAATTACTAATTGGATAAGAAAGTTCCAATTTTCAGCATTCTTTTCTCTAATTATACCAGTGAGTGTCCAAAAATCCATACAAATAGGCTGAGAAGACTAAAGGGTAAATAATCTTAGAGTAGAAATTTGATATGACAGAAAAGCTTCAAATAGAGGGGAAATGGTAGAGAAAAACTTAGCAACCCTTAAGAAAGACTTTCTACAATGCAGATCTAACATTTTTATTTTTATAAGCCTTATTAATTATGAAGTATCAGATGCATACAGAAAAGTTACAACAGAAATGCTTATCACTTAAGCGAAGACAAAACATGGCTAGAGATCAGAAACCCATCCTAAATGCCCTCCCTCTCATGAAAGGAAATCATTATTTTGACTTTTATACTGTTTTTCTTGCCTTTCCTTTTATTTCTACCACATATGTGTGTATCTCTTAACAATTTAGATTAGTTTTGCCCTTTTTGGGGATCTTTGTAAATGGAATCAGACAGGATATGTAAATGCCGCTGTGCCTTGCTTATCTCACTCATTTGAAAAAGACATTTCCATGTAGTAGCATGTGATTGTAGTTCGTTTTCAATGCTGAATAAAAGTGTATGTATGAATATAGCACAATTTCATTTCTCTATTCAAGAAATGAACTGCCAAATTGTCTTCCAAAGTGGCTGTCGCATTTTACTTTCCCATCAGCAGTGTAGGAGTGTTCCCACTTCTGAACATTTTTATCAACACTCGTTATTGTCTGTCTGTATAATTAAAGACATCATGGTGGGTGTGAAGTCATAGTTCACTGTGGTTTCGATTTGCATTTCCCTAATGATTGATGATGCTGAGCATCTTTTCATGTGGTTATGGGCCATTTGTATATCTTCTCTAGGGAAACATCTATTCAAATCTTTTTGCTCATTTTTTAAAATGAGGTCTTTTGTCTCTTCGTTTTTGAGTTGTGAAACATCTTTTTATATTCTGGATACAAATATATGATTTGAAAATATTTACACCCCCCCCCCCCATCCTGTGAATTGTCTTTTCATTTTCCTTAGGTTGCTAAAGTACAGAAGTTTTTCGTTTGAATGAATTCCAAGTATCTTTTTTTTTTTAATCATTCATTGACTGTGCTCGTGGTGTCTTATCTAAAGAACACTTCACTCAATATGTACAGTCACAAAGATTTTCTGTTTTTTACAAGTTTTATGATTTAACTCTTTGAGACTAGGATGCATTTGGAGTTAATTTTTAAGTATGATGACATGTGTATATCCAGTTGTTCCAACACCATTTATTAAAAACACTACTCCTTCTCCACTGAATTATCTTGGCACCTTAATGAAAATAAGTTGACCATATAAAGGTTTATTTATGGACTCTCAATTTTATTCCAGATTTGGAATATCTTTATGCCAGTACCACACTGCCTTGATTACTATAGTTTGATAGTAAGTTTTAAAATTTGGAAGTGTGAGTCCTCCCATTTTTTCCTGTTTTTTTTTATTAAGGATTATTTTAGCTATTTTGGGTCCCTTACATTTCCATATAAATTTTAGGATCAGCTTATCAATATCTGCAAAGAAGCCAGCTCAGATTTTTATTTTTTAACCCTCACCCAAGGATAGTTTTACATTTATCTTCAGACAGAGTGGGAGATGGAGAAAGAGAGAGAAACTTCGATGTGAGGAGAGACACATCGACTGGTTGCCACCTGCACGACCCCAACCAGGGCCGGGGCCAAACCGCAACTGAGGTACATGCCCTTGGCTGGAATTGAACCCAGGACTCTCTGGTCCACAAGCTAACACTCTAACCGCTGAGCCAAACCAGCCAGGGTGCCAGCTCAGATTTTGATAAGGATTGTGGCTCAACCTAGAACAATTTGGAACATATTGCCATCTTAACAATAAGTTTTCTGATCAATGAACAGGGGATATTTTTGCACTTATTTGAATTTTTAACTCTTTCAACAATATTTTATAGTTTTCAGTGTACAGGTCTTGCACTATTTTGTTAAATTTATTCCAAAGCTTTTTATTCTCTTTGATGCTAATTGTAAATGAAATTATTTTCTTAATTTCTGTTTTGCATTGTTTACTGCAGGTATTTAAAAATACAATTGATTTTTACATACAGATCTTGTATCCCGCCACAGTGATGAACTTGTTTACTGGTTGTAATAGCTATTAATGAATTTCTTAGGATTTTATAAGTATATGATTATGTCATTTGCAAATATAGGTTTACTTCTTCTTTTTACTCCTTTTTACCTAACTGCCCTGGTTAGAATCTCCAATCCAATAAAGAAGCAGCAATTATAATTATTAAAGTTATTTTATAATTTCATTTTATAATTTATAGTTCTTTATATTCTCTCTTCGGTGAGACATTATTGTCATACTCTTCTTAAATACTTTGGATATGATTTCCTTTAGTTATTTAAAATTATGCATATTAGCAGATTTAAAGTCACTGCTAAGTCCAAAATCCAATTTCCCCCTCAGGAAAAAAAAAATTTTTTTTTTCTGCATTTATCTTCAGATAGAGCTCAATAGAGAGAGGGAGGGTGAGAGAGAAACATCAACGTGAAAGAGACACATCGAGTGGTTGCCACCTACAAGAAACCAACTGGGGCCAGGGACAAACCGTAACTGAGGTACGTGCCTTAGTGGGGAACCGAACCCAGGACTCTCTGGTCCACAGGCTGACGCTCTAACCACTGAACCAAACTGGCCAGGGAAATTTTTTGCTCACTTTTTTTGCCTGTATACATGTCAAAAATTTCTTGATTCTTTACATGTTTCATAATTTTTTGTTGAAAACTGAACATTTTAGATAATATACTTTAACAATTCTGGTATCAGACTTCTCATACCCCCAAGGTTTGTTATACTGCTGGTTTTGTTTGTTTTCTTGTTTCTGATTATGTGTTGAGTGATACTCCTGGACTCATTAAATAGATTCTGTTTTCTACTTTTCTTTATGGTAGCCCTAGAATTTGCAATATACATTTACAACTAACTCAAATCCAGTTTCAAATAACACTGTACCACTTACTGGGTAGAGTGAGTACCTTAAAATAACAAAATAATGCTAACTCCTCCATCTTTGTACTATTGCTGTCATTCATTTCACTTATATATAAGCATACACACACACACACACACACACACACACACACACAATACATACATAAGCACACAAATGCAAATGCAGTGTTGCTCTCATTATTCTGAATAAATTAAACAAGGGCAGGCTTTTGTTATCTGTTAAAGCAAATAAAAATTTAAAAAATAAGTTTTTATTTTACTTTGATTCTTTCTTCAAGAATCAAATAGATCGGAGTTTCTCTATAGATCGGAGTTTCTGACCTATATTACTATCCTTCTCTTTAAAGAACTTCTTTAAGTATTCTTGCAAACCAGGTCTACTGGCAACAAGTTTCCTCAATTTTTGTCTGAAAAAGTCTTTTTCTCCTTCACTTTTATAGGATAATTTTGCAGGGGACAGAATTCTAGGTTGGTGCTTGTTTATCTCTCTCAATACTTTAAATATTTTACTCCACTCTGTTCCTGTTTGCATGGTTTCTTAGAATTTTGAGTAATTTTCATCTTTGTTCCTGCCAATGACCATTTGGATATTTACAACATCATTTGCAGGCCATACAAAATTATCAACTTAAAAATTAGCCTGCTATATTTGGTCAGGCTAATTTGGTGTGATGTTAGCTGAAATAGATCTTGCAGGCCTTAGACAGCCCACACTCTGGAAGTTCCCCACACCCTCAAGTCTAGAGGGAAGATCCTCCACCCTAAATCCCCCCACCCTTACCCCGGCTTCTTTAAGGGGGTTTCCCCCCTGTATCTTTTATTTTCTATAATTTGAAAATGATATGCCTAGGTATTATTTTTTGACATTTATCCTGTTTGATCTTCTTTGAGCTTCCTGGATCTGTGCTTTGGTATCTTAACATTAATTTGAAAAAATTCTCAATCATTATTTTTCAAGTATTTCTTTTGTTCCTCTTTCTCTTCTTCTGGTATTCCTTTTGTAGTCGTCCCACAGTCTTTGGATATTCCATTCTGTTTTGTTTACGTTTTTGTTTGTTTTTTTTCAGTCTAACGTTTTCCTTGTTTTTCAGTTGGGAAGGTTTCTATTTACATATCCTCTAGCTCAGAGATTCTTTCCTCAGCTTTGTCTTACCTCCTCATAAGCCCATCAAAGGCATTCTTCATCTGCTAGTGTTGTTTTTTTTATCTCTACCATTTATTTATTTTTAGGATTTCCATCTTTCTTCTTACATTGCCAATCTGTTCTTGCATGTTGTCTACTTTATCCATTAAATCCCTTGGCATGTTAATTATAGGTGTTTTAAATTCCCAGCATAATCATTACAAAATCCCTGCTATCTCTGGCTCTGATTGATTGTTCTATCTCTCAAAGTTGTATTTTTTGTCTTTTGGCCTGCCTTGTAATTTTTTTCTCAATAGCCAAACATGATGTACTGGCTTAAAAGAAACTGCCATAAACAGGCCTTCAGTAAAATGGTGGTGAGGTGTGAAGAGAGAAATGTTCTATAGACCTATGATTTGTTCTGCCTTTTAGTGAGCCTGTGCCTCTAGAGCAGTGGTTCCCAACCTTCCTAACGCCGCGACCCTTTAATACAGTTCCTCATGTTGTGGTGACCCCCCAACCATAAAATTATTTTTGTTGCTACTTCACAACTGTAATTGTGCAACTGTTATATCTTAGGCGACCCCTGTGAAAGGGTCGTTCGACCCCCAAAGTGGTCGCGACCCACAGGTTGAGAACCACTGCCCTAGAGTCTAGACTATGAACTTCACTATAAACTTCTTATTTTTTGTTTTGTTTTGTTGCTTCTCTCTTTGGTGGGAGAGGATGGCCAGAGCTGATTGTAATTGGGTATTTACCTTCCCCCAGGTCAGTAGGCTCTGATAATACCCCAGCAGGTAAGGCCCTGGTTAACTAGGTTCTACTAAGGGCAGGCCTTGTTAAGAACAGAGAGCTCTGATATATTTCAAAATGGTTCCCTTCCTCTCCTCTGACAGAAGCATGTTCTCTAATATTTACTGTAGGAAGCTGGTAAAGCTCCTGAAGGGTCCCCATCTCACAAAACTGAAACGGGGGGTCCCCAGGACTGGATTCCCCAATCATCCTCCAGCAACTTGTTAGTTGCAGTTCATGTCATCCTACCCCAGCACTGCTTCTCATCATTCCCTGCATTTGCCTTCTGTGTCTTCTGTGTTGGGGGCAGCAGTTTTCCCTGTGTCCTCGCCCTCGCCTTTCTTACGGTCCTAGCACAGCTGTTGATTTTTCAGTCTGTTCAGCTTTTTACTCATTAGGACCAAGTGGTGACTTTCAGGCTCTGTATATACAAAACTGGAAACCAAGTCTTATTGTTCATATATATATATTGTTTCCTCTCTGTGTTTAAGTATTTTATATTTCTCTGTCTTCAAGTTTACTACTTGTTTTCTCTTGTGTCCAATCTGTCCCTAAACCATCCTGGAGGTTTATAATTTAATAAAATGCATTTCTAAATGTCCATTCTTTCTTTTCTGTGTCTTCCAGTTTCCCATTAGATGTATCCATCCATTTTGTCCATCTTTCCTTCTATTTCTTTTAAAGCATTGTTATTTCAAAGACTATTAAATCCAACATCAATATATGTAGATCTCCTAGTGTCTGTTTTTCTTGCTTATAAGTAACATTTTCCCAACTTTTCACATTTCAGTTTTCTATTGTATGCCAAACAGTATGTATAAATGAATTTTGTGATTGTATATCCTATTGCCAAAACCACACATAATGTAGTTTAACAGCAGAGTATCAGTGTTGTTCTCTATAAAATAATATTTCATTCAAAAAGCTTTAAAGCAAAATGAGTCAAAGGGGTCAAAAGGTACAAATTTCCAGTTATAAAAGAAATAAGTCACAGGGATGTAATGTACAGCATAGTGACTGTAGTTAATAGTATTGTATTGCATATTTGAATGCTGCTAAGATCTTAAGAGATCTCAACACAAGAAAAAAATTTTAATTATGTGCGGTGACAGACGCTAATTAGACTTATTGTGATGATAATTTTGCAATATATACAAAACATTATGTTGTATACCTGAAACTAATATAATGTTATAGGTTAATTATACCTCAAAGCAGTAAATTTTTACTTGGGATATAGCCAGGGTTTTTTTCTACCCTCATGTTAAGACTTCTTTTTCCTTCACTAATTCCCAGGCTACTGAAGACCCTTTTCCAGGGATATTCCCTTATTCTGGATCTATGATTCTGGATCTGCAAAATTCAGGTTAAGTAAATAGTTCTGTATTTTTTTCCCTTGAATCCCTAGTACCTAACAAAGTTCCTGGTGTATAGATGTTCAAAAAGTGTTTAATAAATGAATGAGCAAATTGTGAACTATAGCCAACTTAAACTGCTTAGTCAGGTAATTTACAACGCATGAAATAGTATTCAAAATTAGCTATTAATGTGTAATTTAAAAAATTCTGCACTACCATATACTTTGAGACCTCCCACATTTAAATCACAAAAAAGGATTTCTTACCAGATCTTCTTAGACCTATATGGTGAGTTAGCGATACAGAAGATGACCTTTGCTTCGGGATTGCCAGTGGGTTTGAACTAAAAGGCCCATTTAGATAGCATCCTTGACTAAAAGGGAAAGACAACAGGTTATGAGAATTTTAAAACTGGGAAATGTCCTCATTTTTCTTCATGGTCTTCATTTCAATAAGCAAATAATCTGCTTATACGTTCTGAGTTTAGACATGTCTAGTGTCTAAGGCCTAAAGCAGGAGTCAGCAAACTTTCTGTAAAAGACCAAACAGTAATACTTTTGGCTTTGCAGGCCAAAGGTCTCAGCTGCAACAACTCAACTCTGGCATTGTAGCACAAAAGCAGCCATAAACAGTAACAAATAAGTATGACTGTGTTTCAGTATAGTTTTACTTACAAAAATGGGCTGAGGACCACAGGCTACATTGCTTGCTGGACCTTGGCATAAAGCAGGTTATCAGTATCAATGAGAGGGCTTCTTACAACACAGACTGCTAGTCCCACCCCCAGGATTTTTGCTTCTGTAAGCTAGGGTTAGGGTCAGATAATGTGCATGTCTAACAAGTTCTTAGAGGAAATGCTGATGTTGCTGGGTCCAGGGACTTCACTGAGAATCACTGGCCTAAAATATGTAGTCTTTCACTATTTTCTGTTCCCTGCCTTCACAGATATTGATTCTCCATTAAGTCAGTCATTTCTTATAACTGAAATATTTATTATAGGTTTTAGGGCTCTTATGAAGAAATTAATATAGGTAGGCAATTATGCCAATGAAATACATAAAATGAAGTTCAAGATTATATATTTGAAGCTTCTGGCCCAGTGCCATGCACATAGAAAATATAACATAAATGTTACCTTCCTTTCTTAGATATTCACTAATTTGTTTTTTTTGTCAGTCACCTCCTGATGTGGGTACTTTGCCAGAGGCTCAAGGACAATCCTATATTCTCTATTTTTCACTCAATATTTTTTAATGTAGGCTAGGTTCTCAAGCTCTTCCCCAATGTCTTGATCTTTTCTCTACTTCCACACCCCATTACTCAAAAAATATCTATTTTTCAGTGACCAAAAAGGTTTCTGTTCATGTCTCTAGTATAACGTTTACCCATAATTTACCTATAATTTCACTGCTAACAGATTCTTTTCCCTCACTAATTTTTTAATTCCTTTAGGGGCTATAAAACATATCTCTTCATTCATAGTGGATATCGTACAGTGCCTGATAAAAGGTGTTCAACAGATGTTTGTGGAATAAATGAATGATCTCCTTGGGTTCCTATTCTCACTTTTCTAGAGAATGTATGTTTTCTGCTCCCCATTTTTGAGTAAATGGACTCTTCTTTGGCCAACTCCTGCTTCAAGGCTCTCCTTGGGCCTTTTCCTAAAAATCTAGTTTGCCTTATATCCCAGTGAGAAAAAAAAAAAAATCTATATTACAAAGAGAAGGGATATAAAACCAGTTGGCAACAATTCATTAAAACATCTTTATTCATACTAACAAAAATTATAATAATGTGCCATTTTGAGTATTGATTATGTATCATCCATTGTTTTAGGTACTTTACATACTTTATCTCTGTTATTCTCCTGTTTTACAGATAAGAAAACTGAAGCTTCAAGAGGCTAAGTAATGTCCTTAAATTCACACAGCTAAAATATAATTTCCAATTTCTTTGACTCTAAAGTATATGCTATGCTCTTTCCACAGAAAAATTCTCTCTCTCTGTGTTTCTCCATCTGTAAAATTAGAGATTTATAATTAAAGACTTTTGAGGTAACATCTAGCCTTTAGATTCCATACTATTTTTTTCCTCAAGCCAACAGTAATAATAATTTGTTGACAATTTTACAAAAAGAAACAACATACAAATAATACCACTCAGTAAACCCCTCTGCGTACAAATGCTCACTCATTCACTATTTGAGTGTTCCTTGCCTACAAGTGGAGTGGGAGAGACTGGGAAAGAAGAGTAATGGTTATTCTGGTGGGATACCTTTCGGGACTCCCTGGTAAGTCTGGGTATTTGGCAGGTAGTCCCATTGGCTACCTGGACTGGGACACCCTGGGGTGCGGATCTGGAGACTCCCTAGCAGCTGCCAAGTGATTCCACTTGGGGACTCTCCCTCTCCGACCCTCGACCCTCAGCATTCCCTGTTTCCTTCCCTTTCAATTGAATTGCTGCGCTTCCTGGTTCAGGATTATAGGTCTGGATTTTGGTTTGATTTGTGTGATATTGTAGAGCTCTCTCTGGTAGAATGAGGAGGAAGAGGTTCTGTTCTGGGAAACAACCCTTTGGGGCAAGTTTTGCTTACAGGGGATGAGTGGAGGTCAACCTATGCTTAAAAACCTGTGCCTAAAAAGAAAATGACCTTTTTTGTTGTAATACTGCTTAGTTTATGTATAATCCGGACTCAGGAGAGGACTGGCCTCTGAACAGGTCTTTGAATTACTATACAATACTGCAATTAGAGTTGTTTTGTCAAAGATCAGGGAAATGGGACGAAATACCTTACATACACGCTTTTATGACTTTACGTAATAAAGATGCAGGATTAAAAGGAAATAGATGAATGGCCCAGAGAAAAAGAAATTTGCCTGTGGCAGATAGCAGAAGCTCAGAAGTGAGGGACCAGGAAGATCTGGATGTCCTGCGAGCACGGTCCGGGTTCCCACAGCACCCCCCAGCCCCCAAACCCTGGGGGAATCTTCCCCCTTACTTGGCGCCAGAGGAGGTGATTGAACTGGTCTCTCCGTCCTGAGCCGGCCAGAGAACCAATTTCGGTGGAGGACAAGCCACTACTGGGGCAGGATAATACCCTTTGCGAAGCCGTCCAGTGGGAGCAGGGCCAGAGGGCCAGCCCGCTGGATATTACGGGGCATGTGCTTCATTTTCTACATCGGATCTGTTAAACTGGAAAAACTCAAGTCCTTCTTATGGGGATGATCCTACTAAAATGACTGATTTAGTTATGACAGTTTTTGCCACCCACCATCGCTATTGGGCAGACAAGCAAGCCTGACTGAATATTTTGCTTACAGGGGATGAGTGGAGGTTGGTATTGGATAAGGCCAATGAACAGGCTCTGAGACTGCACCAAGGAAATCCAGACGGGGCTCCTGATTCTACTAAGATAATACCTTTAACCAAGCCCAACTGGATCCTAATGAGAATGGCCTTCCTCTCTTAGAACATAATGAGAAGTGCATCATTGAGGGACTGAAGAAAGGAGTCCCTAAGCAGAAAAGTCTGAACATGGTACAGGCGGTACAGCTAAACCCAGAAGGAACTCTGTTACAATATGCAGGTGACCTCCTAATTACCAGGACATCATTTCAGCAATGTTTACCTAATACCACAGCTACCTTGAACCGTCTGGCACCTTGTGGCTAAGGCCTAGATTTGCCCACAAGCAGTAAGGTTTCTTCAGTCCCTGCTTGAACCTATCAGAAGGAGTCTTACTGGAAACAGAAAAGAAGCCACAATTGAAACGGCAGTTCCCAGTACCAGGAAACAGTTAAAAGGATTCCTGAGAATGGCAGGCTACTGCCCAGATTTGAGTTCCAAACTTTGGGCTCACTGCTAACCACTGTATGAAGCTCTGAGACGAAGGTGTGCACTCGGGCCTCTGAGTCCCTGAAGGCGCACCTGGCTTCTGCACCCGCCTTGGGGCTTCCAAACCTACCAAAGCCCTTTCAACTACATGTTCATGAGAGGCAGATCATTGCCCCGGGAGTCCTCGCCCACATGCTTAGTGATAGCCCACAATCCAATGCATACTTGTCAAAGAAACGATCACTGTTCAGGGGTGGCCAGCCTGCTTGAGAGCAGTGGCAGCCACTAGGGAGCTTTTACAGGAAGCCGAGACGTTTTCCTTGGGACAGCCTGCCACCATTTGTGCACCCCACCAAATGTTGAGCCTGTAGAGCAAAAAGGGAATGTGTGGCTCACTGCTGGAGGAATGGGCAGGTATCTAGCAATTCTTTCCGACAATCCCAATGTCTCCCTCAAAACTGTAAGTTAAATCCTGCCTCCCTTCTCCCGGAGCCTGACTCAGCTGCATGAATGCATGACTGTGCTGAAATACTTGATGAAGTTTAGTCTAGCAGAACTGATTTACAGGACCATCCTCTAGAAGAGGCAGACTGGACTCTAATGCAGATGGAAACAGTTATATTGACAAAGAAAACAGAGAGGCTGGATATGCAATTGTGACTCTTGAAGACACAGTAGAGGCCAAGGCCTTACCGCCAGGAACTTCTGCTCAGAAAGCTGAACTGATGGCAATGACAGGGGCATTAGAATTGTCACATGAAAAGAGAATGAATGTGTATACTGACTCGAGGTACGCTGCCCTAATTCTGCATGCACATAGTTTGATCTGGAAGGAAAGAGGATCATTAACCTCCAACAAAGGGGAAATTAAGCATGCAGCAGATATTTTATTTATTAGAAACTGACCAGGTACCTTTACAGGTGGCAGCTATGCCCTGCCCTGGGCATCAGAAGGAGGACACTGAAGTAGCTAAAGGAAACAATCTGGCTGATTGAGCAGCAAGAGAGGTTGCTGAGGGAACGTTTACAATGCCTTTGGTACCAGTTCTGGACTTGTCACAATGTGACCCTGAATATCTGACTGCAAACTTAGAGAAAGCTAAGAGTCAGGGTTTGATGAAGAAGATACTGACAGTGGATGGAGAAAGAATAAGAAAGGAGTTGTACTGCTTCCTGAACATCTAGTAGAGTCAGTCATGAGGCCTTTGCATGAGACCACTCACTACGGAAGGAATTCATTAACCATCTATATCAAACCATGGCTCACAGGTCCTGGAATTTCTAAAGCCATACAAAAAGTAATAGCTAGATGTGTTGTATGCCAGAGAACAATCCCAAGACAGAGCCCCATTGAAAGAAAGAAGGAAAACAATACCAAGGACAATGCCCATTCGAGGACTAGCAGATAGACTTTACCCAGATGCTGAGGGTGGAAATATTTGTTAGTCTTTGCTGATACCTTTTCAGGATGGGTAGACACCTGTCCTACTAGAACTGAGAAATCCTCAGAGGTAGTGAAATCTTTACTAAAGGAAATGATTCCCCATTTTGGCCTATCCAGCAGCATCCAGAGTGATAATGGATCTGCTTCTGTTTCAGAAATTACACAGAAGGTCAGTAAATTCCTAGGAATCAAATGGAGACTCCACATGGCATGGAGACCTCAGGCTTCTGGGAAGGTAGAGAAGATGAATCACACCTTGAGGAAAAATATAGCCACACTGTGTCAAGAAGCTCATCCCCATTGGAATCAAGTTTTACCTACTGCCCTGCTCAGGATAAGGGTGGATCCTCAAAATGGGATTCCATTGAGTCCCTATGAAATTGCATATGGGCAATCATTCCAGGCTGTGATTGGGATGGGAGGTATGTATGCAGATCAAGAAGTGAGGGTAAAGAATCACACAACACTTCAGTCAGACCTTAGCTGTAATTAATGACCTTGTATGTGTTAGAGACCTCTCCCCACAGGTTTGCTGCATTCTTTTGGGCCTGGAAATTAGGTGCTACTCAAAACTTGGAAGACAGGATCCCTAGAAAGCCAACTAGAAGAAAAGTAGGCAGAACTTTGGGGCGTACTCCTCACCACTCTGCAGTATAATTAGCAAGAATAAAAGCCTGGATTCGTCCCACCAGAGTAAAGAAACCATGGGAAGAACAACAAACCACTGAACTGCAAGAAAGCCTGAAAGTCATCTTTTGAAAACAATGACATACTTTTTTCCTTACTTTTTACTTAACCTCATGTTATGGAGAACTCATTCCTTTCAAACAAGATGAAAATATTTGGGTATATTTAGCAAAAAATATTCTAAACATCTCTGACTTGTGCCTCACCACATTTCATGCAAGACTGTCTGTGGTCGCCAATGGCGTTAGAAATATGACGTTTATTGAACAGGAAGGCTTCCCTCCGTTGCTGTGCACGTGGTAGGTGAACTGAACTGGGGCCATGCACATCCAGGAGCAGGAGGAGAGACTTGCAGGAGTTAAGAGCTAGTTTGTAAATATCTCCTAATGCTTGTTTTTAGTTTTTTTTATGTTGTAGAAGTTCATGATATATAATTTAATGCAAAATGAAATCATTTTATTTCAATGTTATTAAAAGATTCATTTTATTAGGAAGTAAAGAAAAAAATAAGATAGGCTGGAAATTATAATGCAGCTTAAATTTCAAATGGGAGTTAAACTAAAATGACATTATCAGAAAACTTCAAGGAAAGTCTAACACAAGTTACATGTTTACCTAGAGAACTTTCCAAACCATTTTTCTGTTCTCATTCACTGCAAGACTGCTTATCTCTTTTAGTCCATTTAACTTTTCCAAGAAAAGGGTCCGTTTTGTCAGGAGGGAATAACAGGGTTTTGAATCCCAGGCTAGGAATTTGGGTAAAATTCTACAGGCATTGGTAAAGGGCCCAACACTTTAATCTAGAAAACCCATAATCAAAGTTTTGTTTAAGGAAGATTTCTGGTTAGAAGATGGATAAGATAGTGAAGGATATTAGAAATGAGAAGGCCAATTAGGAAGATAATTCAGCAGCCCAGGTAAGGAGTAATGAAACAGTAGTGTAGGAAAGTGATGAAGGAGCAGAAGCAACAGAGAAAAAAAGAGATTCAGAGATAAGAGTTGACAACTGATATCTGTAGAATAAGAAAACAGGATGCAAAGGAACACCGTTGTTTTGTTTGTTTGTTTTAGGTAAATCAATTTTGTAAGCAACCACTAACCACTAGAGAATAGCATTATGCCAAGAAATAAAGCCAGAACAATAGTAACAAAAAATCGGCTGGAGGGATGAGAAATTTGGTTCCAGACATTTTCAGGGAATGAGAGGTTCAACACTGAAACAATGTTGAAAGAATAGTCAGGGTCATTCAAGATCACAGAGAGGCTACTGCTCAAAATCCAAAACTGCATTCAAATCAAGACTCAAAAACCTAAAGTGTGTGATCTCCATTCTAGAGCATTCCACTAAAGTCAGGATGAATGTCTCATGATTCCAGACTCACAAGCCTATTACTTTAGTGCTAAACAAAACATCACCATACTTTAAAGGTATATAGCTGTGCTGTCTAATGTGGCTGCTATGCATGCCTCTATGGTAGTCACACGTAGCTCTTTATAGAACATTTTAATTAAATTAATTCAAATTTAAATTCAGTTGCTTAGCCATGCTAGATACATTTCAAGTGATCACTAGCTAGGAACTACCATACTGGACAGTACAGATATAAAATATTTCCGTTAGCACAAAAATTTCTATTGGACAGCTGATCTAGAGACTTGAATTTCAAAAGTAGTAACTTTTCTGCACACTAGAAAAAATACTTCTAGCTTTAGCTCTTTAAAGTAGATGTTACATAATACCACTAGTTACTTTATTCTCCAAATTTCTAAGTCTTTTTTGAGAGTTAAGTAAGTATATCAAATCTGCCTACATATATCTTTATATGAACACCTGTCAGAGTTAAAGATAGTTTTCTTTGGACCCTGTTTCTACTTTAATATCAATCATTCTTTAATTGCAAATGTATTGCTGTTACATCGGTGTGACAGAAAGAATAAAAAACTGAATCATTGTCATCATTCTTAAACCCAATATTCTCAAAATGATGTTTCCCATGGTTAAGAAATATCTGTCATTTTCAGTTTCTAACATCATATACTTCCCCATACCCTGCTTTTATTAGGAAAAAAAAATATGTCTCGACTGTAATCAAGCTTTGGACCAAAGCTCATTTTCCTGTACTGTATTTTTCATACCTCAATCCATTCCTGTTTTATATACCATCTTACACAACTTTTTAAAAAATAAACAAGGAGTCCATCTATTTGGATATATTATAGAAGTTTCAAAATAATCACAAAAGAATCTGGAAAATTATAATTATCTGATCATATTTCACATATAAATAGTAACATAAATTTTAGCAAGTAGTTATGGTCCAATTCTGCCATCTAGTGTTTTACATGGGTACCTGCATAGCTCAAGCTAAAAGTAAAACCCATGCTCAGTAATAATTTATACTAATACCAATTTTATTGATATAGTTATTAACATAGATAATTGACTAAATAGAAGCTTATAACTCACACAGGAGATCATCATCCTTCCTTCTTTTAAGACAAAGCATCAAATCTTTTGTTATCAGGGAAAATGCATATAGTTACATTCAGATTTCGGCTCCTGGCATTTTCTTAGCTATGTCATAGTTACTGCTGCTTTTCAGAGATATTTAACATCTGAGAATGTGCTCCTCCACTCACAAGTCAGTAACTGTTGCCCAACCTTGTGTATTATGAACTGGACTTGGTGACTACTCCTGTAGTGGCCACCTCTGCTGATTCATAAGCTTTCCCAGTACCCTGTCCTAAATTGATCCTAGCTTCTTCTATGGCCCCAGCATTCTCTGAGTCCAATGTACATAAGTTTTGGGATAAGACATGTTAGCTTCTTTTTAAGAATTGCTTTCTCTATTATGTCATATTACTACCCATGCTGTCCTACACCTAAATTAGTAATCAACTGCTTTTAGAACTATTTCAAACTTCATTCGCAGAAGCAAAAAGATTTAGGTTTCTTTAACAGGCTCTGGGGATTTTACCTTGCAATGCCAAATTCCTGGTGAAGCCTTTTGCCATTGTTGCGTTCCCACCTTGAAGAGGGTTCAATAGGAGGCAGACTTGAAGTTCCCGAGCTCCTCCTCAGCTGTGGAGTTGGTAAACTGTTCCTACTACTGTTTAGTCCCTGTTAAATAATTGAACAGTGGTTAAAATTGTCAGCCTAAAATATGCTGTATATGTATTATTAAAGAGGACATATAAAAATCAATACAAAGTAGCCCTGGCCGGTTTGGTTCAGCGGTTAGAGTGTCGGCCTGCGGTCCGGAGAGACCCGGGTTCGGTTCCCGCTAAGGGCATGTACCTCGGTTGCAGTTTGTCCCCGACCCTGGTTGGTCGTGCGGGTGGCAGCCACTCGATGTGTCCCTTTCACATGGATGTTTCTCTCTCTCTCTGATCCTCTCTCTCCCTCCCACTCTGTCTGTACAAAAAATGGAAAAATGTCCTCGGATGAGGATTAAAAAAAAAAAAAAAAAATTCAATACAAAGTATATTTTAACATGTACAGGAGAAACAGAATGTTTCATCCTGAAAGTATGTCCATTTTACTACAAATTTCACATTCTATACTGTTGTTCTACTTGTCCTTCTACTAAAAAAAAAAATTGATTTCTGAACTACCTACAATTTAACCAGATTTTTCTACTTTTGCATACTATTCCTAGTATCATGAGAAATAAACAGTTGATCATTTAAAAAGCAGATATAAAAGAGTTACCCTAAAAAACAACTTCAGAGGACAAGATTAGGATCAGGGACTATTAGCCCTATATCCTGAACCTTTTATATTTTCAATACAGGGCTAACGTCCATAGAGGTTAATCTGGAGAAACTGCAGGATTCTGAGCTGCTTTTTGAACAAATGATTGAATTCAGAACACCTTTAGCACTCAGAAAAATTTACCCTAATTTTTGAAAATATTCTATTTTTTACCACTGTGAACAGGTGTCTTACTGAGATGTACAGAAAACAGTTTCTTATGAATTTTCCCCATCAGCAGACACTGAAACCATTTCAGAGAGATAAGCATCTCCTATTTAAGTTTTCCCAAGGATGTTGATTTAATAAAGGTTCATGGTTAGTTAGAAATTTAGGTTCATATAATCTCTCTTGTTTCTTAACATAGTATATAGGACATTTACTTTGAATTATCTATTCCAACTCCCCTTTCCTTACTAATCATTTTTTCACAAATGCTTTTGCTATTTTCTGAAGCAATGTTAGGCTTCTTACATTCTTTTCCAAAAGCACAGACAAACTAGATATAAAATTCAAATAAGAAGTCTAAAGAACACTAATAAAAGAAATAAAGCTAACATCCTGGCTCTTCTGATTTATTTTTACCAGCAGATTACAGTACCCAAAATAAGCTGGATACACTAGAATGTTCAAGACATGAGGCATTTAGACATCCTGTTTAACAGTATTGTTTAAATGTTTCTAAAATGTACCAGTACACTTTTCCACACAGTAAACACAGTAACAATACTATTATCAATATGATTTTTATGATTAAGATTTTTTAAGAATTACTATTCTAATATCAACATCAATGTAAAATACAAAAGAAGAGTAATAGATCAAGTGGAAACTAGCTCAAGAATATATTAGCTATTTTACCGAATTTGTTGCTATCCCATGATTTACCTCTAAGTATCATTGGTAATTGGGTTTGGACTACTGCAGGTGATACTGTATTTACTTTTTAAAAATAAAAGCATCACAGGCCTGGCTAGTGTGGGTCAGTTGGTTGGAGCATCGTCCCATGCACCAGAAGGTCATGGGTTCGATTCCCAGTCAGAGCACATACTTAGGTTGTGGGTTCAATCTCCTATTGCGGCAGGTGTGAGAGGCAACCAATTGATGTCTCTCTCACACACTGATATTTCTCTCGCTCTCTCTCTCCCTTTCTCCTTCTCTAAAATAAATAAATAAAAATAAAAATAATAAAAGCATCACATAACTACCTATGATCCAGATCTGTGATCAATAACTGTAAAATTTTTGCCCTATTCAGGCTTGCTTAGCTTCTCAACATTTCTAAACCCTAATGCTGAGGGGAAAAAATGAAATTAACTGATGATCAAAATCCCTCCAAAAACTAGATTTAACTTTTTCTAAGCTCTATATACACTAGTAGGAGTAAATAAAACAAACTGATTTGAATTTTATCTTCTCGGTTACTTTCTTTATCTGTAGAACAAAGTAGTTAAACTAGAACAATCTCCAAAATGTTTCCATTTTTAGTTTTATGATTTTAGCAATTGGTAAAGAGACTGATAGTCAGCCCTGACCAGTTTGCTCAGTGGTTAGAGGGTCATGGGTTCGATTCCTACTCAAGGGCATGTACCTGGGTGGCAGGTTCAATCCCCAGGGGGCAACCAATCAATGCATCTCTCACATCGATGTTTCTCTCTCTCTCTCTCCCTCCCTCCTTTCCACTCTAAAAAAAATCAATGGAAAAATGTCCTTGGGTGAGGACTAACAACAACAAAAAAAGATATTGATAGTCAAATAAAACAACTGAAAGTACTCTGGACAAGCATAACATATGCCTATTTAGAACAGTATTATTTTCTAAGGGACATTCTATTTTGAAGCATTGAAAGTTAAACCAATCCCATTTCTAGTGATGGAAAAATCAATGCCTATTGGGCTGTAGCAATCTCTAGTGGGTAAAGAAGTGGGGGAGGGTTTTAAAAATGTGAAAAATTGATTTAAAGTACATAATGCTATGTAATGCATAAAATGAACATAATGATCACTTCCTCTTGGTTCAACAAGAACAATTCCTGGATTCTAAAGAATAAAATAGATTACTGACATGATTTGACTACTAGTTTGTTGTACAAGCCTGGAATTAAATGTGCTTGTTGCTCTACTACTTAATATAACACCACCAACAACAATAAAGAGTTGTTACTGATACAGTTATAACTGCTAATTAGAGCAATGTTATTTAGAATAAAAACTGAAAAGATGTTTCAAATTTTTGAGATTGTAATGACTTCTAAAGCCCCAAGGACCTCAATATATTGGAAAAGAAGCTGATCCTCGAAAAAGAAATTCTAGTTTATCTAAGATTTCAAAGAACAGTTTTAATTTGAAAATATAATCAAATGTGATAAGTAGGGCTGGCTGATTACTGTGTTTTGACCTTGTGAAGTTTTCGATCTCCTCTCTCAGCTGAGTCCTCTATTTCAGAGCAGGGGTAAAATCCAGGAAATGGTGTGAGAGGGTTAATCTTTGGCCTGCAGGAACCTGAGAAAGCACCCATCAAGCTACTGATGCTCCGTAGAGAGGAAATGACTTGTGGGGGAAGAGTTGGGTCAGTCAGAAGATCTGACACCATATTGCGAGCCTCATTGAGCACTGAAAGATCCACACCACTTCCACCTCCAGAATTCTAGAAAAAAAAAAAAAAAGTAAAATTATGTATTTGTTACACAGAAAATTCAACAGTTAAGATAAACTGACTTTATCTTAAGTCAAGGTCTAACAATAACTAAGTAATTTAATTCTAGTAAATTATTTGGACATGAAATAATACAATAAATGGTATAATTCTCACTTCAAATTTTTTGATTTTGAAGTATGTAGCAGATAATGTGAATTTTAATTTTTTCTGTATTTTTCATCTGCTTATCTCATTTAACAGCATTTATTACTGACTATAACTAGGAGAAAACTAAATTTATATTAATTTAAAAATCTATAATTTGAACATTTCATTAATTTATTGATGATTTCTTTTCCTTTATATCAAAATGTCTTTTAAACATACACTGCATTTCTTTTATTCACCTTACTCAAGAGGCAGTTCTAGCACAGTGACAAAGCTTTGTTGCAAAGATGAGTTTGAAATCTAGACTTTGACACTAACTGTGTGACTTTGAGCAAGTCATTTAACATCTGAACTTTTTAGTTTCTTCGCTGTAAAATGGAGATAATAGCATCTACCTCATTAAGGGCTGATGTGAGAATTAAATCGGTTAATATATGCACAGCACATAAAGCAATGTGCAGTGCATATATCTAAAATGTAATAAATAACAGTATTAATATCAATATTATAGAAAATAATGAGATAAAAATACAGAAAAAAAAACAGCATCACAGTTCAAAGGAAAAAGTAATAACTTTGAACTGAATGGTTAACAAAAATACATGGAAAGGATAACATCAGGCTGAGTTCTAAAAAATGGGTAGAAAATATATTTTTAAAATTTAAAATAACTATTTCATGAATGTATACATATGTAATTTTTACTTTTGAAAATACATATATATTTTGTTCAACTTAATTAGCCATAGAAATAAGTACACTGATAATCAGAACAGTGAATTAAATTTACTTTTGTTTTACTGTGCCTTGAATTTACATTTGAGTGTATCTGGAGTTCATAAGTATTCAACATATTTAATGATTTCATCTCAACAAACACATTTTAGAACTGAAAAAATGTTATGAAAGTTAGACTAGTAATTAGCTAATTAAAGTCTCTGCTCTTTGTGGAATTCTTTTATCTTTTATCTTGTGAAGCACTATTTTGTATTAGTTTTTATTTTAAAACATTCCCCATTATTAGGGCATAGCCCACCTATTTCTAGTCTTTATAAACAAATACTTCTCTACATATCACTATAGATTATTAAGCATACTTCTGACAAATGGCTTGCCATAATTTGAATTGCTAAGCCTAAGTCAATGAACATGTTACATTTGGATCATTACTATAAACATGCCCTCACATATGTTGGTCAAATCTATATTTCCACGAATTATATATAATAGCATCTGTTTCCCTTACACTCAAATGAGAAACCTGCTGTTATCTGAGTAGGTGTTCTCCTATAGGTAATGTGTCATTTCCCTCGGGCTGCTTTCAAAATATTTTCCTTGTCTTTAGTTTTCAAAAGTTTAATTATGACAAGTCTTGGAGAAATTTTTTTTTTTTTTTTTGTAATTGCTCCTATTTGGTATCTGCTCAGATTCCTGAATTTGTAGAATTATATCTTCTGCAAAATTTGGGAAGTTTTCAGCCATTATTTCTTCAAATACTCTTTTAAACTCACTTTCTTTGTCCCCTGCTTCCCAGACACTGGTGATACAAATGTTGGATCTTTTGTTATGTCACTCTGGTCCCTAAGGCTCTGTTAACTTTTTTTCCATCTATTTTCTTCATGTTGTTTAAATGGGGTAAATTCTATTGCTCTATCCTGGAGTTTACATATTCTGTCCTCTGTCATCTCCATGCTATTGCTGAGCTCATTCAGCAAGTTTTTAATCTCCATTTTTCTCCTTTTTGTAACTATTTCCTTGCTGAGATTTTTCTGTTTTTGTTTTTGTGTGTGTGGTTTTTTTTTTTGGTACATGCCCCTAGCGGGAATGGAACCCGGGACTCCACAGGCCAAGGCTCCAACCGCTGAGCCAAACGGGCCAGGGCGAGATTTTTCTATTTTATTTGTTTCTAGTGAATTTGTAATTGCTTGTTAGAACAGTTTTACGATGGCTGCTTTAAATTTCCTCCTCAGGTAATTCCAAATCTGATTCATCTTGATGAGAAGCACTGATAGTCATCTCATTCAAGCTGTGATTTTTTTTTTCTGGTTGTTGGTATGACAGGTGATTTTTTCATTTCATCATCAATATTTTGGCTAACAATGCTTCACATAATGCTAGAAGACTGGGTCTTATTTAAATCTTTTATATTAGGAGGTAGTCTTGTTTGGACTTTACATATAGATCCTGATCTATATTTCAGACTGTGGTTCTAATGGCAATTTAATTTTCAGGGCATTCACAATGGTATTTCAGTCTGCTTTATTTTTTTTATCTGGTGCCACTAGAGTTCCCACTGGTCCCTGCTGGTGCCCCTGTTTGTGGGATTGTGGGAGGGTGGGGTAACTGGAAGTGGGGGAGAGGGACCTTCCTCAGGTTGGGCTACCTCCAGGTAGAAGAAAAGAGACTCCAGGCCACAGGGACAAAGAACATTTTCTGGCTCGGCACTTGTGGCAGTTCCCCTGTACCAGCCCCCTGGCATCCTCTGTCTCCCACTGGGGAAGAGGATCTCCTGCCCAGTAGGGAGTAAGGGAACAGTCATATGCCTCATAATGACATTGTGGTCAACGACGAACTGTATCTACAACAATGGTACACCCGGCTGGTGTGGCTCAATGGAATGAGCACCATCCCATGGACTGAGAGGTCCTGATTTGATTCCTCGTCAGGGCACATAACCGGATTGCGGGCTCGATCCCCACTCAGGGGCGTGCAGGAGGCAGCTAATTGTTGTTTCTCTCTCACGTCAAGGTTTCTCTCTCTCCCTTCCTCTCTCTTTAAATAAAAAAAAAAAACAATGGTATGCCATATATACAATGGTATACAGTAGGCTGTACCATATAGCGGTATGTGTAAGTGCACTCTATGATGTTCACACAATGACAAAATCGCCTTATGATGGATTTTCCAGAATGTATCTGTTAAATGGTGCATGACTATACTTCCCTTGGCCACTCATTGTCAGTGGTGTTTCTGATCAAGTCCCTCTTGCCAGAGACACCAGCCTCACTTGGTATTGAAGGCAGGACTCTAATTCAGTCTTGGGGAAGAAATGAGCTTACTTGGGTCACATTCTGTTGCTAGTTGAGAGTCAGGGCCTGAGTCACCTTTTACTGTTAGGTGGGGGTTGTAGGACACCCTGTGACTATGTTATTCCTCCATCACTAGCCCCTAACCCGTCTAGCCTACTCTTTCCATTTTCAACTCTCCTTTGGTTGCCTCATGCATCATTTCCAGAGTTGATAGCTTTACTTAAAAGAGAGAAGCAGGGAGAATTGCATGCAGAGCACATGAGAAAGTATATAGTATAATCAGGAAGAGCGTTAAGAAATACTACTGCTAATGTTATAGGAAATGATGAGATAAAGACGCAGACAAAATGGTCTTAAAGTTCAAAGGAAATATAGACAACTTTAATTTAAAGGGTTAACAAAAGCTTTATGCAAGAGGTAGCATTTGGCAGGATTTTATTTATGAAGATTGGGGAAATAATGTTTTACAATAAAACTAAAAAATGTATTTGGGGGAGTTCATTTTTTAAGAAGGAACATAAATAGCAAGGTACAGAAAACATAAAATTATTAAAATACAGGCTATATATTTTTTATTATGTTTTTATTGATTTTTTAGAGAGAGAGGAAGGGAGAGACAGAAACATCGATGTAAGAGAGAAACATCAATTGGCTGCCCCCTGCACGCCCCTCAGTGGCGATTGAGCCCACAACCCGGGCATGTGCCCTGACCAGGAATTGAAACGGGACCTCTCAGTCCATGGGACAATGCTCAATCCACTGAGCCACGCTAGCCAAGCAGTACAGGCTATATTAAAAAAGAAAAAGAAAAAAGAAAGAAAAAGAACAGTGGAAAATAAGGTTAGAGAGGCATGTTGGGACCACATTTTTGACAACACTGGATTCCAGGCTAAGGAACATGGGCAATGGAGCTCTGAGTAGACTGAAGAGAAAGAATGAAGCAGAGGGAAACGGAAGCGGAGGGCACTGAGGTTTCAGATATACGGCAACCATCTGTTAGGCTCTGACAGAGGTGTGGGGAAAGAGCACTCCGAGCAGAGAGACTAGCAAGTGTGAAGACCTAGAGGCAGAAGCCTGGCTTGTTTGTGAAAAGAAGGGGGCCAATGTAGCTGGAGCAGAGTAAACGAAGGAGAAAGGACTAGAAGATGAGGTCAGAGAAGTAAAAGACAGTAAAGGGACCATATTGTATACGGTCACAGAATTATGTGCAATAATATGAATTAATCTCTCAGATAAAGTTCTGGAAGAAGCAAACCAGAAAATACATGTGATTGATTCCATTTATTATATAAAATTCAAAAAAAGGAAAAACTGATTTGTGATGAGAAATCAGGAATGCGGGAACACTTGGGAGAAGTTGATGACTAGGAGGAAAGCATGAGGAAGCTTTTGGGGTGCTGACTTCTTCATCTATAAGATGGTCACATGTTCATATTCACTTGGAGAAAATTCATCAAGTTGTATACATTTATGACCTATGCACTTTTATATATGAATATTACACTTCAGATTTATTAAAAGCATTATTAGAGAAATATGGGGAGTGAGAAAAGAAGAAAAAAGGGGACAGATGTGTCTGATATCACAAACTAGTCTGTCTGACTACAGGCCCACACTCGGAACCATCACTCCTTATTTAGCTTTAGATTTTACCAATATTTTAGATAAAATTGAGGATCTTGGATATGAAATATGATGATGAGAAAGCCCAGTGTGCAGGTCAAGAAACCAGCCCCTCTTAGGTTAGATGTGGTCTTCTTGATTTCATCTGACTGAAATAGTTATACTATTTTCTCACCAAATCCAGAGAATATTTTATTCCATTCATATTTTAAAAATAAAAATCAGCCCTGGCTAGTTTGGCTCAGCAGTTAGAGAGCACTGGCCTGTGAACCAAAGGGTCACAGGTTTGATTCCTGGTCAAGGGCACCTACCTGGGATGGAGGTTTGATCCCCGGCCCCAGTCGGGGTCCTTCAGGAGGCAACCAATCGATGTGTGTGTGTGTGTGTGTGTGTGTGTGTGTGTGTGTGTCTGTCTGTCTGTCTCTCCTTCCCTCTCTCTAATAATCAATGGGAAAATATCCTCGGGTGAGAATTAAAAATAATAATAAAATAAAAATCAGCCATTCAAAGGGATATTCATTTTTTCAAAAATGGATGCTGGGAAAACTGTCTAGGAACCCTAATAAACAGGGGTAATGTTTCTATAAACACAAATGCTAGATTTAACACTTACTGTTTATCAATTAGTGTGTAAACCATTGTATTTCAATAAAACATATGAAACCTAATATAATTTTAGAGAACAGAAGATACAAACACATTTCAATACAATAGAAAAAGACTTACAAATATATGTATCAAAAGTTAACATAACCTAGTTGTTTCTGATGTTTACGAGTGATTTTTCTTTTTTCTCCTATACTTCTATTTTCAGTTCTTCCGATACAAAAATATATTACTTAAGTGATCAAAAAAATCTTTACAAAGTACCTATTAAATGATTCCATTTATATAATAAATAAATGAAGTTCACAAACAAGCAAAACTAATTGCTTGAGGTCAGGACAGAGATGACCTTTAAGGATATAAGTAATAACTAAAGTGGTGCATAAGTGAGGCTTCTGGGATGCTGGTCATGTGTTCTTTCTTGATATGGATACTAGTCACATGGGATATTTAGTTTGTGAAAATTCATCAAGCTGTACACTTTTCTGTATGTACAGTTCAATAAAAAGTTTACCAAAGAGCAAAAAGATTTTGCTTCCCTGATAAAATATTTTTCCAATTGCCTTGCTTTTTCTCATATTTGGCCTTTAATCTACTTTCTTCTGTGTGGATCAGTTGTCCACAATCAGGAAAAGAAGAAACTCATCCTTAATACAGAATTATTAGTTTATTTGAGTCCAGATTACTTTAGCAACATTTTAAAAAATACTTATATGCCCTGGCCAGTTTTGCTCAATGGTTAGAGCCTCGGCCCTCGGAACGGAGGGTCACAGGTTCAATTCCCAGTCAATGGCACATACCTGGGTTGTAGGTTCCATCCCTGGTACTGGCCAGGGTCGTGTGGGAGGCAACCAATAGATGTCTCCCTCTCTCTCGCTCTCCCCTCCTCTCTCTCTTCCCCTCTCTTCCCCTCCCTTCCACTCTATCTAAAAATCAATGGAAAAATAACCTCCAGTGAGGATTAACAACAACAAAAAACATATATGCTTTATTTCTTACCATTTCCTTTTTTCCATTACAGTTATAGCGTACTCTACCTAAATAAAAGTTCTGGTTAATTTAGTTTAGGCAAAGAAATCTTATAGCAATCTTGTGAATGTAATTTTAAATGTCAAAAGTTTCATTACAGATACTATTAGTGATAATCACATATTTACCTGATAATGAGGTTTATACCATTGCTTTAAGTCCCAATCCCAAAGAATCATCTGGAAAAAAAAAAAATTCACTTAGTTACAAACCAGAAATAAACAAATATATGTAAAATAGCATCTCAATTACAGACACATCAAATAGCTTAAAGTTTGAATTGGGAAAGTGAGAATAAAAATTATCTCTAGACAGAGTATTTTATTAATTATACAATTTGTGATTTAGAAATCAAAAGTCAGATTAGTCACAAAAATAAGCTATATTAACCTTCAAAATATCTACTGCCCTCAAAAGGAATATATAAAATAAAATAAAAAATCACATCCAGTCACTAAAAATACAAGGAAAATTACAAATCACCAGATAGTGCCCCCCTCCCCCAAATGATCATCACTCATTTTAAACCAGTGTCAATGGTGGTGCTATTTTCTTACCAATAAGGTACTTCTGTCAAAAGCAGTTTAAAAATCTCGTCCTTGTGGTTAGATTAAGTATAAAGGAATGGAGCATAAAAAGCGATACACAACCCTTTTGACATGCAGATAATTAGCGGTTTTCCTGTTTCTCTCTTTATACAATGGTAACTTCTTAGTCCCAGACTAGTTTCTTCCTGCCCCTCTTTTTCTAAGCTTTCTGGCTGCTTCCCTATCCAGTCGTTACTATGTTCAAGGAGATAAAATTGGCTTTAATGTACAAACTATAACTGTTACCTACCATTAATCTTAAATGTCTTCTAAGTTTACTTAGTTAATAAATAGGTCTCCTTTTGCCTAAATAATTGCAATCTTCTACATAGCTTTGAACCCTAGTCTTGAATATAAGCCTCGCTAATGTGTGATATAATCATATAATTTCCATATACTGAACTATTTGTATTGTTCCTGTCCTTGGTCTTACGTGTTTTTTTTTGGTTGCAAAAGATCTTAGTGTTATCTACTCTATCATTAGCCCAGTATTTTATCAGGAGTTGGCAGACTTCTTTTCTGTGAAGGACAGATAGTATATATTTAAGGTTCTGCAAGCCACATAAGGTCTCTGGCATATTCTTTGTTTTTTGTTTTTGTTTTACAACCCTTTAAGATGCAAAGAAAACCACAAAACAGGCTGCTAGAAGGATTTGGTCAGTGGGCTGTGGCACACTGAGCTCTATTTTATATAATATACCAGCCCTTGATCACTCAAATTTGTCAGCCATCATTATCACCATCTCCTTGTCACACTCTTGTAGAAAGTCATTTCTTGCCAGCGCAGAGAAATCTATTCTTTCCCAAAGAAATCCAGACATACTCTAACCACTTATAGAATTCATGGACCAATACCCAAAACATGGCTGTGATTTAGTAGACTTACAAAATTTAAGCAATATTTTATATGGCCCTAAGTGTTACTCTGATAACATTATTTAAGGATGTGACTTAACCAGCACACGTTCTAGATTCTAGAGACATTAATGCAGTTTAAGGCATTGATAACTTCCTGAAAACACTCACATTAAGATCACAGTAACCTAAAATTCCTAAATTTCATTCCTACTTGTAGTCACTTTCTGAAGGATAAAAAAAATACATTTACCAAAAAGCAGCAGGTCTTCGTCCTGCATTACTAGGTACTGAAAACAGATACAGCGACGGCCACACATTGCTGGTAGACTGTCTTCTGTGTCAAAGAAAGGTGTAAGGTATGGAAATACATTTTTGAAGGAATTAGAGAAAAGCAGTTTGTCCTAAGCTAAGGATGTTTGCTTCTGAATGAGTAAGAAGAGACCAACTAAGAGGGACTGGAAAAGTAGTAGGTTTGTGAAAACCTGAGAGGAAATTTTGTGTGGTTAAGCTGAGTAAGACTGAAAGAAATCTAATCAAGTAAGTGGATTTAAAGCATCAAAAGTTAAACTAGTGCAAAATTAGAGGTTGATTTTTCTCTTTAAAATGACTTGGTTTGTTTCTGATATTGTGAAAGAAGATCTATACTCTATGTGATTATAGGGAACTATATGTCTAACTCCATCCCCCAGGGCAGCCTCCTGCGATCATCTTATAAAACTAGGCCATGTTTGGCTATAAACCAATAAAGAAAAAGAAAATGCTTTCTCTTTGTAATACAACACTGCCAGAGGCTGGGTCCTTAAACTACAGTACCATCTTGCAACTTGAGTTATTCTGTAAAAGGGAGGAAAAATGGGATGAAGTCCCCTAGGTACAAGCATTTATGCTTTTGTATCAGAATAAGATCATTCAAATAAAATGTAAAATTATGATACACCAGAGCAGGAAACCAGACAAGTCTTATGAGAGTCCCAGGAGAATTAATGTGACTTATTATTACTCCAGCTTAATGTTTCAGCCGCCATGGCCATTCCACTGCCCTTTGGCAATGATGAAGCTGCAGCCCCTGCCCTACTATCTCCAGCTGGAGAAAGAGGTCTGCCAGGCTCAGGAATGGTCTCTACCTCTCACATCCAGCACGGTACCCAAACTGGTCAGGGGGCCACTCCAGGCAGGGCAATTCCCTTTAAGGCAGGTGCCAATTGGAGGAATTGATGCTTACAGATAAGGGGCAGGCATGGTCTGAATGTATTCCCCCATCACAACTTCTGACCTTTCCAAGTGGAAAAACAATATGCCCTCCTATAGGGATGATCCTAGAAAGATGGAAAGGCTCCTCTTCCTCCATTTGGACACTTATACATAACCTGACTTGGGCAGATAGTCAACATCTGTGGAACACTCTGTTTACTGCCGAAGAACGGTGGGTTATCTTAGAAAAGGCAAGGAAGAAAGCTAGTGGCCTGCTCAACGAGACACCCTAGAGCCCTGTGTGAGTTGAAGCCGCAACTGTCGTCCCTACTACTGAACCACACTGGAATATAAACAACGGGGATCAGCCTAAGCTTGAACATCACAGGAACTGCATTCTGGTTGGGTTAAGGAATGCTGTACCCAAACGAAGAAGTTTTTAATAAGGTCCAGCAGCCAAAGCAGTGTCCAGTGCCCCTGATAATCAAAGAAAGCTTCAAAAGGCTGATGGTCCTTTGGAATGTCTCTGTCACCAGTGGTGATTGCTTTTAAGTTGTTCAATAGCAGAGACCAGGCCTGGGAAAGAGAACAAGGATGAAGCCACAGACTGACTTGCTGGCTGCTGCTCTGACCACCAGAGGGCCTAAGAAGACAACGAACAAGGTAAGGGCCTCAGGGAACAGGGAACCTGCCCCAAGCAATGTGCTTACTGCAAGTAAGAGGATCACTGGGGAAAAAAATGACCAAGTTTAAATAAAAAACAGGACCAAGAGGAATGAGGAATATTACAGATGACCCAATTATCCCTGAATGAAGGGGCCCAGGAACTCTGATCAACATCACTGGCTCCTTCAACGCCTCCCACGTGGAATGGTGGGAAAGAAATTGACTTTCTGATTGACCCTGGAGCCACATATTTTGTATTAAATACCAGGTTGACTAAACTTCCTCTGAAACAAGGCTTGAGACTGGAATGTCAAGAGAGTTACTACGGAAGCTATTAGATTTCCAAAAGGGAGAAGCAAACCTTAAGCATAGCATCTTGTATTGCCAGAATGCCCAGTGACACTTTTAAGATGGAACTTACTGACTAAACTAAATGCCAAAATAACCTTTGCCCCCAGGTGACTGATACTAAGGTACCCCTGGAAGAAGCTTGTTTCACAGGCAGCACTGCTGGCTTTGGCCAAGAAAGAAATTCTGGCTGAGCTCCCCAAAGAATCCTGCAAGAAGTATTGGGCAAAGGACAGGCCTGCAAAGGCAAAGACAGCCAACCCTATCCAAATACAACTGAGGGCTGAAGCAAACATCCTTCCATCTAAAACAGGACATTCTAAAAGAACAAGCTAGGAGGGGAATCCAACCATTAGTAACATCATTCTTAGAATATCAGTTTATTCGGCCTTGTCATTCGCCATATACCACTCCCATTTTACCAGTACAGAAACCAGGTACTGAGGAATACAGGTTTGTTCAGGAACTCAAGGCCATCAACCAAACAGTGGAAGACATCCACCTAGTGGTCCTTAATCCTTATACCTTGGTGACCACTTTGAAAAATTTACTGTACTGGACTAAAAAGATGCCTTCTTTTATATACCCTTGAGCTCTGAATCTCAGGAGCTATTTACATGTGCAATACTGTTGAACTGTTCTTCCCCAGGGGTTCAAAAACTCGCCCACTGTGTAGAGAAGCTTTAGCCAGAGATCTAGGAGACCCTCAACTGGACAGGGGAGCACTACTCCAGTATGTAGATGATTATCTTCAGCACAAGCACCAGCAAAGTGGCCTCTGACAAAAATACTACTCTAACCCTAAACTTCCTGGCTGAATGGGATTATAAAGTTTCCCAGAAGAAAGCTCAAATACCCAAACCTTCTGTTAAATACTTGGGATCTGAATTGTCTCAGGGGCAAAGGAACTTGCTCCCCGATCAGAGAGAAGCTCTGGCTGAGGTGGCAGTGCTTACCACCCACCGACAACTAAGAGGATTTTTAGAAATGGCTGGTTTTTATAGGATCTGGATTCCACACTTTGGCTTATTCCTGACTTTTTCCTCATATGACTTGGACTGGGGAATGTCAGAAGGCCTTCTAAACTATTAAAGTTATGAACGGCTCCAGCCTTGGGCCTCCCAGACTTAAGCAAGTCATTTGACCTGCCTATGCATGGACAAGGAACAGGACTGAGAGTATTCCCCCCAAATCTGGGAAATATTAAGATGCCACCAGCCTACTTCTCAAAGCTATTGGACACGGTGTCTCGAGGATGGCCAGTTTGTCTAAGGACCACAGCTGCCACCTGTGACTTTGTATAAGAAGCTGAAAAGTTCTGGGACAGCCCAGCCCACCACAGTGCATACTACACACGGTGTGTTGCCCTAATGAGAACAAAAGGGAGGATACTGGCTGACCTCCAGTCAGCTGGGAAATACCAAGCCATCCTTTTAGACAATCTTACTATTATTCTCAAGGTCATCTCCACCCTAAATCCAGCCACCTTATTTTCCACTGAACCAGAGGGACCAAACTATGACTGTATT